GTGAAAGGCTGGAAGAAGATTTACCAAGCCAATGGCCCCAAAACAGGCAGGAGTAGCAATACTTATCTCAGACAAAGTAGACTTCAAACTTACATTGATCAAATGAGATAAAGAAGGACACTCCATACTAATAAAAGGGGAAATACACCAAAAGGAAATAACAATTATCAACCTATATGCACCCAATCAGTGCACCCAATTTCATCAAACATACTCTGAAGGACCTAAAAGCATATATAGACTCCAACACAGTGGTAGTGGGAGACTTTAATACCCCCTATCACCAATAGATAGGTCATCCAAACAAAAAATCAATAAAGAAATTCTAGAACTAAATCACACCATAGATCAAATGGACCTAGCTGATGTCTACAGAATATTTCATCCAACTTCTGCACAATATACATTCTTCTCAGCAGCCATGGAACTTCTCCAAAATTGATCATATCTTAGGGCACAAAGCAAGCCTCAGCAAATATAAGAAAAAGAAATAATCCCATGCATTCTATCTGATCACAATGCATTAAAACTAGAACTCAACAACAAAAACAACAGTAGAAAACATGCAAACAATTGGAAGCTGAACGATACATTGCTCAATGATCAATGGGTCATTGATGAAATAAAGAGGAAATTAAAGTTCCTGAAGTTAATGAAAATGAAAACATGACCTACCAGAACCTATGGGACACAGCAAAGGCAGTCCTAGAGGAAAGTTTATAGCCATGAGTGCATATATTAAAAGGACAGAAAGATCTCAAATCAATGACCTAATGCTACATCTCAAACTCCTAGAAAAACAAGAACAAGCAAATCCCAAAACAAGCAGAAGGAGAGAAATAATAAAAAAGGGCTGAAATCAATGAAATAGAAACAACAAACAAAAAATACAAAGAATCAATGAAACAAAAAGCTGGTTCTTTGAAAATAAATAAGATTGACAGACCCCTGGCAAACCTGACTAAAATGAGGAGAGAAAAAACCCAAATCAGTAAAATCAGAAATGCAAAAGGGGAGATAACAACAAACACCATGGAAATCCAGGAAATCATCAGAGACTACTTTGAGAACCTATATTCTAATAAATTTGAAAATCTTGAAGAAATGGACAGATTTCTAGATACTTATGACCATCCAAAATGAACCAAGAGGATATTAATCACCTGAATAGATCTATAACAAAATGAAATTGAAGCAGCAATAAAGTCTCCCAAAAAAGAAAAGTCCAGGACCTGATGGATTCTCTGCTGAATTCTATCAGACCTTTAAAGAAGAACTAATACCAACCCTCCTTAAACTGTTCCATGAAATAGAAAGGGAAGGAACACTGCCTAACTCATTTTATGAAGCCAGTATTACACTCATCCCAAAACCAGACAAAGACACCTCCAAAAAGGAGAACTATAGGCCAATCCTTAATGAACATCGATGCAAAAATCCTCAATAAAATAATGGCAAACCAATCCAACAACACATCAGAAAATCATTCACCATGACCAAGTTGGCTTCAGCCAGGGATGCAGGGGTGGTTCAACATATGCAAATCTATAAATGTAATACAGCACATTAATAGAAGCAAAGACAAAAACTTGATCATCTCAATAGATGCAGAAAAAGCCTTGACAAGATCCAACACCACTTCATGATAAAAGCTCTAAGAAAACTAGGAATAGAAGGAAAGTACCTCAACATTGTAAAGGCTATATATGACAAACCTAGCCAACATCATACTTAATGGTGAAAAACTGAAACCATTTCCCCTAAAATCAGGAATGAGACAAGGGTGCCCACTATCCCCACTCCTATTCAACATAGTCTGGAATTCCTAGCCAGAGCAATTAGGCAAGAAGAAGAAATAAAAGGAATACAAATAGGTAAAGAAACTGTCAAAAAATCCCTATTTGCAGATGATATGATCCTATACCTTAAAGACCCAAAAAACTCTACCCAAAAACTCCTAGACACCATAAACAGCTACAGCAAGGTGGCAGGATACAAAATCAACTTACAAAAATCATTAGCTTTTCTATACACCAACAATGAACAAATGAGAAAGAATATATGGAAACAATTCCATTTACAATAGCCTCAAAAAAAATCAAATACCTAGGAGTAAACTTAACAAACGATGTGAATGACCTCTACAAGGATCTACAAACCCTGAAGAAAGAGATGAGGAAGACTACAGAAGGTGGAAAGATCTCCCATGCTCATGGATTGGTAGAATCAACATAGTAAAAATGGCTATACTACCAAAAGCAATCTACATGTTTAATGCAATTCCCATCAAAATCCCAATGACATTCATCACAGAGATTGAAAAATCTACCCTAAAGTTCATTTGGAAACACAAGAGACTGAATAGCCAAGGCAATACTCAGCAAAAAGAGCAATGCTGGAGGTATCACAATACCTGACTTCAAACTATATTACAAAGCAATAGCAATAAAAACAGCATGGTACTGGCACAAAAACAGACATGAAGACCAGTGGAACAGAATAGAGGACCCAGATATGAATCCACACAACTATGCCACCTTATTTTTGACAAAGGCACCAAAAATATATGATGGAGAAAAGACAGCCTCTTCAACAAATGTTGCTGGGAAAAGTGGTTATCTCTGCAAAAAACTGAAACTAGATCCATGTTTATCACCCTGTACTAGTATCAACTCAAAATGGATCAAGGACCTTAATATCAGACCCTGAAACTCTGAAGTTAGTCCAGGAAGAGCAGGAAACACTCTGGAAGTAATAGGTATAGGCAAGGACTTCCTCAATAGAACCCCAGCAGCTCAGCAACTAAGAGAAAGGATGGACAAATGGGACTTTAAAATTAAAAAGCTTCTGCACAACAAAAGAAATGGTCTCTAAACTGAAGAGACCATCCACAGAGTGGGAGAAAATATTTGCCAGCTATACATCAGACAAGGACTGATAACCAGAATATACAGGGAACTTAAAAAACTAAACTCTCCCAAAATCAATGAACCAATAAAGAAATGGGCAACTGAACTAAACAGAACTTTCTCAAAAGAAGAAATTCAAATGGCCAAAAAACACATGAAAAAATGCTCACCATCTCTAGCCATAAAGGAAATGCAAATCAAAACCACACTAAGATTCCACCTCACCCCTGTTAGAATAGCCATCATCAAAAACACCAACAACAGTGTTGGCAAGGATGTGGGGAAAAGGAACCCTGTACACTGCTGGTGGGAATGCAAGCTAGTGCAACCACTCTGGAAAAAATTTGGAGGCTTCTTAAAAATCTAAACATAGATCTGCCATATGATCCAGCAATCCCACTCCTGGGGATATACCCAAAGGAATGCAACACAGGTTACTCCAGAGGCACCTGCACACCCATGTTTATTGCAGCACTATTCACAATAGCCAAGTTATGGAAACAGCCAAGATGCCCCACTACTGACGAATGGATTAAGAAAATGTGGTATTTACACAATGGAATTTTACTCAGCCATGAAGAAGAATGAAATCTTATCATTCTCAAGTAAATGGATGGAACTGGAGAACATCATTCTGAGCAGGTTAGCCAGGCTCAGAAGACCAAAAATTGTATGTTCTCCCTCATATGTGGACTTTAGATCTAGGGCAAATACAGCAATGTGGTTGGACTTGGGTCACATGACAAGGGGAGAGCACATATGGGAGGTATGGGGATAGGTAGAAACCCAAAACATGAAAGTATTTGATGTCCCCACTGCAGAGGAACTAATACAGAAACCTTAAAGCGACAGAGGTCAATATGGGAAGGGGATCAGGAACCAGTGTAAAGATCAGTTAGAGATGAATCAACCTAGAATGCAACACATTTGTACATGGAAGCAATGCTAGGAATCTCTCTGTATAGCTATCCTCTTCTCAACTAGCAAATAATGCTTTGTCTTTCTTATTATTGCTTATGTTTTCTCTTCAACAAAATTAGAGATAAGAGCAAAACAGATTCTGCCTTTAAGCAAGGAGGGATGAGAGGGAGAGGGTGGAGGAGGGGGATAGGAGGGAGAAATGACCCAAAAAACATATGCACATGTGAATAAATGAATAAAAGAGCATTATCTGAGCAATTATCACCCCCCCAAAAAACTTATAACATATATGCACATGCATGCACAAAATTAAAGCAGAGAATAAGAGTTACTAAAATTCAATAGAAAAGGATAAAGAAAAAAATGTGTAAGATAGTAATTGGATCCAAAATACACATTAAAAAATTCCAGAAAGATAAACAAATTAAGCCTATACCTAGCCATCCATAGAAAAACTTCTGTATTTCAGGGATAGACAAAAAAACCTGTAATCATAGCCAAGTTATGGAAACAGCCAAGATGCCCCAGCACTGATGAATGGATTAAGAAAATGTGGTATCTATACACAATGGAATTTTATGCAGCCATGAAGAAGAATGAAATGTTATCATTCGCTGGTAAATGGATGGAATTGGAGAACATCATTCTGAGTGAGGTTAGCCTGGCTCAAAAGACCAAAAATCGTATGTTCTCCCTCATATGTGGACATTAGATCAAGGGCAAACACAACAAGGGGATTGGACTATGAGCACATGATAAAAGCAGAGCACACAAGGAGGGGTGAGGATAGGTAAGACACCTAAAAAACTAGCTAGCATTTGTTGCCCTTAACGCAGAGAAACTAAAGCAGATACCTTAAAAGCAACTGAGGCCAATAGGAAAAGGGGACAGGAACTAGAGAAAAGGTTAGATCAAAAAGAATTAACCTAGAAGGTAACACCCACACAGGAAATCAATGTGAGTCAATGCCCTGTATAGCTATCCTTATCTCAACCAGCAAAACCCCTTGTTCCTTCCTATTATTGCTTATACTCTCTCTACAACAAATTAGAAGATAAGGGCAAAATAGTTTCTGCTGGGTATTGAGGGGGGAGCGGGAGGGGGTGGAGTGGGTGGTAAGGGAGGGGGTGGGGGCAGGGGGGAGAAATAAACCAAGCCTTGTATGCACATATGAATAATAAAAGAAAAATGGAAAAAAAAAAAAACCTGTAATCCATAAGTAATTCTCTTTGAATTTAAACCTGGCACCACACTGAAGTGTGGAAGGTGAAGTGTGGAAGGTGAAGTGTGGAAGGTGGTGGTCTTCTCAGAAGCCCAGCCAGTGCTCACATCTAGAACCTCCTGATACACGTGGAAACATGAGCAAACACTATAAAACTACACCGTAAAGATGAACTTCCCAGGAAAAATGTAAGCCAAGGCAATCAATCATAAGTGAACTTTTTTGTGTGAAAGGGGAAATCACACACATGTAAGGTAGAAAACAAAAATACACAAAAAAGCCATGGACAATTGTTGTTGTTGTTGCAGTACTGGGGTTTGAACTCGGGCCCTTGCACTTGTTAGACAGGTGCTCTCTCACTTGAACCACACCCTTAGTCCTTTCTTGCTTTGATTATTTTTCAAATAGGGTCTCACATGTTTTGTCCCAGGACTGGCCTCTCACTGCAGTTCTTCATCTATGCCTAACATAGCTGGGATTGCAAGTACATACCACTATTCCTGGCTTATTTGTTGATATGGGGTTTCCCCAGCTTTTTGCCTGGGCTGGCCCTGAACCACAATCTTTCCAATCTTTGCCTTCCAATTAGCTGGGACTCTAGATGTGTGCCACCATGCCTGGCTTGTACAGTTATTTTTAACAAAGTTATGAAGCTAAATACAATGGCAGAACTCATTCTTTTAAAGTGAAACTTTGCAATGTAATCATAATTTATTAACAACATCTAAAGTCATAGAAAAAATATCAATAAAACTAGGAAATAGGAGAAAATGGCCAGGGAGTATATTTTGGTGGTAGAGACTTGCCTAAACATGCAAAAGACCCTGGGTTTGATCCTCAGAACTGAAAGAAAAAAAAAATAGGGAAAGCAAGAAAATTAGATGGGTAGATTACACATATTTTGACACTGAAAACATAAGTTTAAATATATGTGTTATGTATACCTATTACATTCATTTCATAAGCATACAAATGAAATTCCTAATGGGGAAATGAAAGGTTTTAATTTATTAGAAAAAATAAAAGAGCTGAGCCTATGTTCTCCATAGAGCAAATGAGAAGGAAAAAAAAAAAGGGAAACAGGAGAGCACCTGCCTCCTCTGTTGAAAGAAAGAAAGCCCCTTCATATTTGGGGCAGGTCATTTCTGTTGATTGCTTCATTCTCATCATTGAACACTGATGAAAGAGGCAGTTAAAAGAATGCCAAAAGTGAGGTCAAACGCATTCTTTCTTTCAGTAAATTTGGTTGAATCTCCATTGAGTCTCCCTGTGAAAAGACAAAGATGTTTGCATAGGATCAAAAGCATTGAATATTGTGATCCTTACATGAAACATGCCTTGGGTAAGTGACAGAACAGCGTTAGTTATGTGTACATACAGGCACAGATACATATGTGGAAGTGTGTCTATATATGTTAGAAACATGCAAATAAAATGGTGATGTTACGAGAAAATAGAATTTAAGAAGAAAATGCTCAAACAGATGTACAAAAGGCTGTTCTATTTGGGTTCTGGTAACATTCACAATGAAGCCAAGAAATTAACGAAGCAGAGTGGTCCAGGAGGAGTTAGCAAGAAATATCTGTGGCAACAGTGAGAGGATAAGAAATGCCCTATACAGTAGGTAGTTTATGGTGCCCTGTGACTTCCTCCAAATTGTGATCTTTCAGATTTGCGACTTGTACCTGCTATGAGGATAGTTACAGCATAATTGTTTTTTGGATTTGCCTTTAGGTATCGACTCCTTGGTTCCTCGTTTGCTGAATGTATCATTTCAGGTAATACTGTCGATTGGGACCCAAAGACACCAATTTGTGAAGGTGAGTGGGAATCTCTTTGCCCATTTATCTCACCAGTTAATCCTAGATACACACACACACACACACACACACACACACACGCACACACACACACACCCAAATCACCAAATTATAAAGAATAGCTCCAATCCCTCTTGGAAATGGTCTCCTTCCAATAGTTAAAGAATATACTCCTGTCCCTAAAGCTGCTGAGAGTATTCTAAACTTTTAGGTCCACTTGGGCTTTTCTTCTCTTGGGTTATAATTTATTTTAAACTAATGTTATCCCTCAGTATTCATGAGGCAGTGGTTTCAGGCCCCCCAGCCCCCCACACACCCCAAAATCCATGGATGCTGAAGTCCCTTCTATAAAGTGGCATGGCATTTCATGTAAGCTACATACATCTCTTTAAATCAACTCTAGATTACTTATACATAATACAATGCAAATGCTATAGAAATTGTTGTCTAGGAAGTAAGTACAGGGAAAAGTCAGTACATGTTCAGTGCAGAGCAATTATTTTCCAGTATTTCTAACGCTTTGGTGGTTGAATCTGTGGATTTGGAGCCTGTGTCAATAGAGGGCCAGCTGTGCAGTCCTGAGCTCACTTCCAACAGCCACCAGCTTCTCTGGTTGGCAGAATACTTCCTAGTTTGGAGATCACTCTCTTTAGTGAAGTAAAGAAACACAAAGATACCAAAAGCAGCCTTACTTCCTGTCTGCCAGCTGTTCAGCTCAATGACATTCTGAAGCCAGGCAGGTCTTCTTCCTTCCTCCTCCTGGCTGGATGGTGACAAAGGTCTTCTTGGTGAGCTGTCTGGAGGACAAGCTCCCTACTCCTTGGGAGCATAGAGGAATGAGCAGCTGCAATTTAACAAAGAACACAACAGGACAGAAACCTGGATTTGGGAATATTGTGAGGACCTCAATAACTTCAAGCCCAACAGGTGTTAAACAATTGAAAATATGCCACAATGAATTGAACAGTAGAGACACCTCTCTCTAAGCAAGTCAGAGAAAGCTGGTGAGTGGCTCAAATGGTAGAGTGCCTGCCTAGCAAGTGTGAGGCCCTGAGTTCAAACACCAGCAATGCCAAAAAAGAACAAGAAAAATCCAAAGGGAATCAGAGAGAACACCCTTAGACTAGAGTATTATTCAGTGGACAAAGATATTTTGGACAACTATATTTTGTAAGGGTTCTGAATAGTTGTGAATATGAAAGAACACACAGTAAACTGTTAGCAGTGATTCTTTCTGGAAAGTGGCATAGTAAATATTTTTTATTTATCAATATTTTACAAAAATTCTCCAATAAATATGCACATTCTTAAATGTTTTCTTAAAGGGATAAAGACACAAATAAGTTCCTAATGTAAAGTATATCTGATAAAAATAATTAAAATGTTTTATATGTTCTAGAATGGTTTAAAATGCTCATGAGTCAGCTGTTAAAAATTACACTAAATTTGTCTGCAAAATTAGTCGTGCCTCATTTCTTTTTAGGAGGAGGTCTTGAAATATGTTTTTGCATTTCTCTGTATTTCTGGGGTATTCAAAACTTCTAACTTTTCTTGAGTTGACACTGACAAAATGAATCTTTGTCTCTAATTTCTCTTTTCAAGTTTTCAATAAAGTAGGGCATAGTATTCATTGTTCTCATTACATCCAAATCTGCAATTGTCGTGTTTATTGTATCTAATATACATTTGTGGTTTGTCTTTTTATTATTTTTGATAGAGCTTTTTGCTATTATATATATGATAACGATGCAATACTATATGGCTCGCATATGAGTAAACAATAGAATAAAGCCAAATGCCTCCTATAGAGAACTGAATTAAAAATGATGAAAGAGCATAAATTCTTATTTAAAATGAGAATTAAACATGTGTGTTCTAATAATACATGAACACATTTATTCAAATAATGTTTACTGAGAAGAGTACAACAGGATATTTTGACTACCTAATCTGTTAACTGTCTGTGTATTAGGAAAGACCAGATAAGGACACTATTGTAAATATTTACTCTTTGATAATTTGAGGTTCTTTTCTTTAAATTTGTTACCAGCATTTACAGTAGACCCTTAGTATCTGTGGAAATATGGCTGCAAGGAGACTGCTATTCAGAAAAAAATACAAATTCTCAAGATGCACAGAGTTCAGTACTCTAAAATTACTTAAATTTACCTGTACCGTATGTTTCTACAGTAGGTCTGAGCATCCATAACTTGAAGCCACGTGGAGTAGGCTATGTTACTGTCACAAAATTACTGTTTATATGCTAACACTGCTCACTAAAATACAGTGACATATTGTACATTCAGTACAATGCTTATAATATGAATACAAAAATTCTAACCCTGTCTGCACTAGAAAAATTTTAATTCACCTTACATATATTACATACATTACTATACTGCCATCTAGTGGTAATCCTTAAAACTAAATCCAAAATTTTCACTTACCACTTAAACACATTCCATGCCCTTTTTAGTTTGGGAGGATTATCAAGACTTTTACTTTGCTTTTTTGGGCATCATTTGATTATTGGGAATTAGGCTTTCACAAAATTAAGGGCATGAAAGCACTCAGCAGATCACACAATGAATTAAACACAGCTGACAATGCAGGACTGATGACAGCTTCTCATTGACTGAGCTGTGGAATGCATGTGCATTACTTTTTCCGTAGTGCTGGGCTTTGAACTCAGGGCCTTATACTTACTAGACAGAGCTCTACCACTTGAGCCACATCCCCTAGCCCTTTTTTTTGCTTTAGTTATTTTTCAAAAATGTTCCCTGTTTTTCCCTAGGGCCAGCCTCAGACCATGGTCCTCCTACCAATGCTTCCCTCATAGCTAGGATTATAGGCACACACCATCATGCCACTATTTTTTGAGATGGGGGTCTTGCTACTTTTTTTGCTGGGCAGACCTTGAACCAGCAAAGGTTCAAGGTGGAACCGCTCCTGGTGGAATTTAAAATTTTTGTATTTGAAATTTATTTTTGACTTTTTAAATTAATTTTAACTGAGCTTTGTCAAAACCATGCTAATAAATACACAAATAAGGCAGGCTTACTGTAAAATTAAACATAACTTTAAGAAATCAGGGTTTTGCTTAATTTGCTCTCTCTTTGCCCAGCAATTCCTTGTGAGCCACCCCCAGCCATCACCAATGGAGATTTCTTTAGCACCAGCAGAGAAAATTTTCGCTATGGAATGGTGGTGACCTATCGCTGTAATCCTGGAGACAGGAGGAAGCTGTTTCAACTTGTGGGCGAGCCCTCCATCTACTGCACCAGCAATGACGGTCAAGTCGGCATCTGGAGTGGCCCTCCCCCACAGTGCATCATACCTAATAAATGCACACCGCCAGTTGTCGAAGATGCAATCATGGTGTCTGCCAACAGAGCTTATTTTCTTTACATGACATTGTGGAGTTTCGTTGTCAGCCTGGCTTTGTCATGAAAGGACCCACCAGGGTGCAGTGCCAGGCCCTGAACAAGTGGGAGCCAGAGTTACCAAGATGCTCGAGGGGTGAGTGTGACTGAGGTGGGAGAGTTGTTGTGATGGCGTGAGGTGTTGGAGGACTGGGAGATCAGTGCTGGTTCTGGAGAAGGGATGTGTGATGAGCAGATTGGGTAAATTTTCTTGGGAAGGGACGTGAAATCAAGAAGGTGTGTGAGTGAGTATGTGTGTATGCATGCATGCACATGTATTTATGAGTATGCATCTTCATTTTGAGAAAAAAGCACTTCATCAACCAAGAGCTGTTTGGGTTTCTCATATTGAGTAATTGTCGGGGCAAATGCCAGCTGCGGTATCTCTCAGTTATAGTGAACAGTGTTGTAATGGTTAATCTTGACTGTCAACTTGATTGTATTGAGAGGCACCTAGGAGATTCGTAAAGCATACCTCTTGGTGTGTTGGGGCTCTGACTTAATCAATGTTTTTACCCACTGATTCAAAATTTGAATGGTTGAGAGGTAGTGGAACCATAGAAGGTCGAGCCTAGTCGGAGGAAGTAGATGACTAGGGACATGTATTTGAATGTATATCTTGGCCCTGGCCCCTTCTTGTTACTCCTCTCTCCTTCCTGGCTGCCATGAGGTAAGCAGCCACCTCCATCACACACTTTGGCTGCCATGATAATGTTCTGCCTTACCACGTGCCATAGCAATGGAGCAAGTGAACTATGTGCTGAAACCTCTAAAACCATGAGCCAACATGAATCTTTTTTCCTTTAAGCTGTTTCTTTCAGGCATTTTTCACAGCAGGAAAAAAAGCTGACTAGCAGAAGCGTTGTGGATTTTCTCCACGGTCATCCAGGTGATATGAATTTTATACACATTCTCTTTCATTTCCTCCTTACAACAATACTTTGAAATAGTGCTATTTCTATATTCATTTTATAGTGGAGTTAGTTTATTTCTCAGGGGTTAAATGAATGGTTTAAGTCACATGCTACTAAATGACACACCCAGGATTTTGAAAGGCAAGGGTGTCAGACTCCAGGGTCTGAATGCTCTGGTTCTTGCCCTAAAAGTTTTAATGAAACAAAGTGGCTGGACTATGGAGACATATAGCATAAGACTAGTGACAAAGGCCTTAGACTTTGTTTACAAATGGTCCCCTTTTTATATTTTATCATTAGAAATCTAAAGTTAAGAGAAAAATAAGTTGCTCAGAGACAAACAGGTTCTCCATCTTCAGTTAGCCATAGATTATATTTTTAAAATGTTTTCTGATGCCTAAGCACCCACCAGAGGGGCTATAAATGTAGGCAGACCTGAGTCCAGTACTCTTGAACATCATGTCTCTCAGTACAAAGACTGGTGTATTGAGGGATTTTTGTTCATGGCTCATCTTGTCTTCCTATGGACAAGAGCAGAGCTAGCAGTGGATTTGTAGGTATGTGTGGCTGATATGTAAGGCAGGGAAGAACCCTACAATTCTACCACCCTTCTACCATGGCAGCCTTGTTCAATCACTGAGAGAACAGCTTGGAGGACTGACAAAGAGACCTAAGCATGTCTACATGACTGTGCTCTAATTAAAGCATGTTTTAAGAAATATGAGAGGAAATCCATTAAGCAGCCTTGGGCTAAGTAGCCTTCTTATTACCTGAACAATGAGGCTGAAATTTAGGATTGCCTTTGTAGGAAATATGCAGATGGAGAATCCACTAGTACTAATAACTCTGTACTAGAAAGCCAGAGTGAGGAGAAAGAGGTTCTTATTTTATAGACTTATACATGAATTGAAACTTTGTGCTGGAGAGAACTAGGTTCTATTTCTCTACATTTTACTAGTTATGGAGGTGCTGGCTACATCTCTTCCATACTCTTAACTTCCACGTCAGTAAAATTAGCCAGATGGAATATCATTTGACTTCCTCTGTTATACCTGAAATCCCTTTGTGTTAGCCAGTTTTCCATTATTGTAACAAATACCCAAAATAAATCAATTTATAGAGAATAAAAGGTTTATTTTGGCTCATAGTTTTAGAGGTTTCAGTCAATGGCAAGTTGTCCCCATTGCTTTGTGGCCTGTGGTAAGGCAGCACATCATGGTGGAGATGGAGAGTGTGTGATGGAGCAAACTGTCCACTTCATAATGGGGAAATGAAAGAGAAGAGGGAGACACCAAGATCCCACATTCCCAATTGGAGGTCCCACACCTCCAATGACCTAAAATCTTCCATTAGTCCCACCTCTTAAAGATTTCATTCCCTTTCAATAGTATCCATGATTGGGGACCAAACACATGGGCCATTGGGGGACATTCTAGATCCAAAGAATAGGACCCTGTAAGTATGACTAATTCCTGGAAGGCTTATGGGGTAGCAAAGCATTTCCCCAGACTAATGAGTACTTTGGACCTGTTCTTTCCACAGTATGTCAACTGCCCCCAGAAATCCTGCATGGTACACATACAGCACACAACATGGATGAGTTTTACCCTGGGCAGGAAGTGTTCTACAGCTGTGAGCCTGGCTATGACCTCCATGGAGCTGCTTCTCTGCACTGTACATCCCAGGGAGACTGGAGCCCTGCAGCCCCCACATGTGCAGGTGCCTAGATTCTCATCTGGTTTTCAGATCACTCTGCACTTCACATGGCAGTCTTATTCTCTTTTCTTTTCCTTTTAGAGAAATTATGTGATGTGTTCCCAGACTACCTCCCTAATGGCCATGTGCTATTTCCACTAAATCTCCAGCTTGGGGCAAAAGTGACTTTCATGTGTGATGAAGGGTGAGTATGACCCGAAATAGAGACCAGAGACTCAGTGCTACATAGTGACTTTGAGTTCAAGGATTAATTCAAAAAGAAGAGAGAAAGAGAAAATGACTTATAACTCAATGTCAAGTACATAGATACAGTCACTGATCTTGATATTTTGGTTGGAACTTAAATGTGAATGACTAAATAGTTATTTGAAGGTAGAAAAAAAACCATAATTTTATAAAAGATTTTCTAGAAAAAATGTTTGATGAGTAAGACAAAAATTGTTTGCCCAATGACAAGTCAGATAAGACCTGTTTTAGGAAACTTGAAACCAATCAATAGTAGAATTTGTAATAGTGCATGGACAAGTATGTTTTGACCCAATCCTGTATCTTCATGTCAGTGATGGCTTTGATACTGGAATCATATGGCCAATGTCACTGCTTCAGGTGGTATTATTAGTTGTTATGTAAACCCACTATTATTGGTGGCGGGCACTATTCATCTGTGGAAGCAACGAGATTGAGCAATGAAGTAGTGATTTTTAATAATTTTAAGGAATCTGCCATTTAGTGAAGTTCACCAACCAATACTGATGTTTGATTTCAGGATGAATGCTGATTTCAGAAGGACAACAGTATCTAATAAGTTGGGACTTTTAGGTTGATAAAAATCTCTTCTCACCCTTCTTTTTTCTCCTAGGACATTTGGTTCAACATGCTTCTGTAATCCTCCTTCTGGCCCATGACAATTGTGGTGCCAAGGAGAACAATGCTCTTTCTCTTTCCAGATGTTCTCTGCTTTTCCCACCCAAATCAAGAATTCTTTTCCCTCCTAACCCACTAATGAGAGCCAGCAGGATGTCAGCAGGCTATCAGTGAGAGCTGGGCTCTGAAGTTTATGGGTCTGTGCTCATGGGGAAGTCTGGTTCTGTGTTCAGTGCCTTCCATAAGGGATGGTGGGCCATGGAGGATGTGTAGGATGATTAGGTGCACCAGTTTTAATCACTTTACCAGTCACAGAGTACTAGGATTCTTTTGGCTCTGAGTTTCTGCCAGCTACTAAATTTAGATCCCTAATGAACTGAGACATTTAGCAGGTCCTAAACTTAGGAACCAAATCCTCTTTAGGCCAAAGAGAGGAAGCTGAGCATCTGTTGGTGAAAAGAAGAAGGGAAAGATGAGAACTGCTCAAACATTTGCTCCTTGCTTTTTGTTTTATGTTTTGTTCTTAGGTTCCAGTTAAAAGGCAGCTCTGCTAGTCATTGTGTCTTGGATGGGATGCAAAGCCATTGGAACAGCAGTGTTCCTGTGTGTGAACGTGAGTAGAAAGAGTAACTGTGCAGTGTGGATAGCTCTCATTTTTTTTCCAGTGTGTTTGCCTCATGGAATCACCTGTGTCCGGATCTTTAACTAAACTACTGATAAAAATACTTCTTTGTTGAGAGAATTTCAAGAGAAGTCTTGTATGTCTTTTATATCATGTATTTATTTTACTAATCTACAAATAAGTAGTTTGATAATGTTGAATTTTGTGGGAGAGTTGTAGGAAAAAAACTAAATGACCTAAAGGTACACCAAAAATTTTATTTATTTACTTATTTTTTAGTTTAGTTGTCAAAGGAGTATTCTCTCTTAAACTTTTATGCTCTTTTGTCCCCTCACTTGTCTAAGCTATTTATTCAATCTGTTATTTATTTTGTAGTGTTTACTTCTCATGTGTAGAAAGAGTAAAGAATAAGAAAGACTCATCCCTGTTTTCATGGAGTTTGTTTTCCAGTTAGGAAACAATGATCAGGAAAATAAGTAAAATAATTTTTGAAAAATAGACAATAGGGGCTGGAGGTATGGCTCAAGTGGTAGAACACTTCCTTTCCTAGTAAGCATGAGGCTCTAGGTTCAGTCCCCAGTACTGAAAAAGAAAAAAGTTAAATAGTAATATGTTATGGAGAAAATAAAACAGATTTATATAAGAAATTAATATGATACAGGGAATTGAGGTGGTGAATCAAAACTTGAAATGATGAGGTAACCTACATTTCTAAACTGTCTACTCAGATAAGATACATCAAAGATGCAAAAATCAATAAATTTGATTTATATATCAAGATATAACTGATTTACCCTACTCTGTTTCCTAAAGCAAAGCAAGACTTTTCTTTGAATACCTTTTTTCCATTCATTGGAAAATGTTCATTTTTAGGCTTATTAAAATACCTTTCTAAGCTCAGAACTGTGAAGGCAGAGTTTGAGTGTTGCACCTTGAAGTCCTCTTTCTGCTTAGCTTTCCTTGGCTCGGGGAGTTAATGCTGGGCATTTAGCCAGCGCTGTCTCTAAAGAGAAAAATTACTACACTTATGGCTGGGATTTTACACTCAATAGTTCAGAGACCCCCAGGCAGACTACAGACGGTGAGAAAAGGTGTGGAATCTCTCATTGGTACTGATTGGATTCATCACAAATTTACCAAATCAAGAATTCCAGATAAAGTGTTTCAGCCTTCACCAACAGATCATGAAAAATATGGTGGGGATCCACAGAACCCTCATAAACTGCACATTGTTACCAGAATAAAAAGCACAAAAAGACGTCCATATTGGGAAAAAGATATAATAAAGATGCTTGGCTTACAAAAAGCACATACCCCTCAAGTTCACAAGAATATCCCTTCGGTGAATGCAAAACTGAAAGTAGTTAAGCATTTGATAAGAATCATGCCCCAAGGACTTCCAGCAGAAGAGAACATGTCTAACACCTGCCTCAAGAGCACTGGGGAATGAGTAGTGCAGTGGTATCTACAGCCCATGGACCAGGAAGCAAAGTCCTGATGTCACAGCAGCTTCACCTTAAAAAATGCAAATCTTTTAAAATTAGCATACATTAATAGTACAATAGGTTTCATTGTGGTAATGCTATCGATGTGTATGGTGTGCTTTGAATAAGTTCATCCTCTCTATTACATTCCCTTAAGAAAATAATTTTTATTGAAAGTTGATGAGAAAGTGTTTTCATTCGAATATATTTTAAATCCCAGACATTTTCACTGACTGAACCTGCTATGATTACTCTTTACTATATAGACTTGGAGGTTTTGTTGCTATTACTTGGTTTAATTATCTGTCCTTTTCCTCTTAAGAGTTTTACTCCATGAGAATCATGGAAATTGAAGAAGGAGAAGAGGTCCAAGCAAAAGGGATCCATAAAACATTCAATAAAATAATAACAGAAAATTTCCCAAATCTAGAGAAAGTTATGCCCACTCAGGTACAGGAAGCCTCCAGGATGCCAAACAGACTTGACCAAAATAGAATTTCCCCATGACATATTATCATTAAAACTACAAGCACAGAGAATAGAGAAAGAATATTGAAGGATGTAAGAGAGAAAAAACAAATAACATAAACAAAGGTAAACCCATCAAAATCATAGCAGATTTCTCAGTGGAAACCTGAAAAGCAAGAAGGGCTTGGAGTGAGATATTCTGAACACTGAATGAAAATAACTTCAACCCTAGGATACTCTACCCAGCAAAACTATCATTCAAAATAGATGGAGCAATAAGTGTTCCAGGATAAGCATAAACTAAAACAATATATGATCACCAAGCCACCACTACAAAAGATTCTCCAAGGAATTCTGCAGATAGAAAAATGAAAGCAAACATTTTTTAACTCAGGGTCTCACACTTGTTGCTAAGATTCAACACCACTTCATGATAAAAGCTCTAAGAAAACTAGGAATAGAAGGAATGTACCTCAACATTGTAAAGGCTATATATGACAAACCTATAGCCAACATCATACTTAATGGAGGAAAAACTGAAACCATGTCCCCTAAAATCTGGAAGGAGACAAGGGTGCCCACTCTCCCCACTCCTGTTCAATATAGTCCTGGAATTCCTAGCCAGAGCACTAAGGCAAGAAGAAGAAATAAAAGGAATATAAGTAGGTAAAGAAACTCAAAATATCCCTATTTGCAAATGACAGGATCCTGTACCTCAAAGACCCAAAAAACTCTACCCAAAAACTCCCAGACACCATAAACAGCTTCAGAACTGTGGCAGGATACAAAATCAACTTAAAAAAATCATTAGCTTTTCTGTACACCAACAATGAACAAATTTAGAAAGAATATATAAAAGCAATTCCATTTACAATAGCCTCAAAAACAATCAAATACTTAGGAGTAAACTTAACAAAGGATGTGAATGACCTCTACAAGGAGAACTACAAACCTCTGAAGAAAGAGATCAAGGAAGACTACAGAAGATGGAGAGATTTCCTATGCTCATGGATTGGTAGAATCAACATAGTAAAAATGGCTATACTACCAAAAGCAATCTATATGTTCAGTGAAATTCCCATCAAAATCCCAATGACATTCATCACAGAGATTGAAAAATCTACTCTAAAGTTCATTTGAAAACACAAGAGACTGTGAATAGCCAAGGCAATACTCAGCAAAAAGAACAATGATGGAGGTATCACAATACCTGACTTCAAAACTATATTACAAAGCAATAGCGATAAAAACAGCATGGTACTGGCACAAAAACAGACATGAAGACCAGTGGAACAGAATAGAGGACCTGGATGTGAATCCACACAGCTATGCCCAAACTTATTTTTGACAAAGTCACCAAAAACATACGATGGAGAAAAGACAGCCTCTTCAACAAATGTTGCTGGGAAAAGCAGTTATCTGCTTGTAGAAAACTGAAACTAGATCCATGTCTAGCACCCTGTACTAGTATCAACTCAAAATGGATCAAGGACCTCATATGCGGACTTTAGACCTAAAACAAATGCAGTAATATTAATGGACATGGGTCACACTCTAAGGGGAGAACACATACAGGAGGAATAGGGAAAGGTAGGAGACCCAAAACTTGACAGTGTTTGTGCCCACTGTAGAGGACCTAATATAGTAATCTTAAACTAACAGAGGTCACTATGGGAAGGTGACCAGGAAGTAGTGAAGAGGTCTGGTAGGGATGAACCAGCTCAGGTTGTAATACTCATGTGCAAGGAAGCAATGCTAGGAATCTGTCTAGCTATCCTTATCTTAAACTAGCAAAAATGCTGTCTTTCTTACTATTGCTTATGTCTTCTCTTCCACAAAATTGGAGAAGAGGGCAGAACAGGTTCTGCCTGGAAGGGAGGAGTTTCGGGGGGAGGGGAGGGCAGGGGGAGAGATGGCTCAAACAATGTATGCACTTTTGAATAAATGAATAAATAAACCATAAAAAAAGTTTTACTTCAAAAAAAAATACCTTTCTAGAACATTTTATGGTAGGTATTATAAAAACATCCAATACCCAGGAAATTCAAGTATCCAATAAGTACAACCTTCCAGAGATACACAAAATGTATATATGTGTGTGTGTGTGTGTGTGTGTAAACATTGGATAAACACAGATTTATTAAATTTGGTTATAGGAAATAAATCATTGTTTGATGTAATAAGACTTCATATGTTTTAAATGTATAATTCTGATAAACTTAGGAATCTGTTCCTAAACATAGATCAGATTAGAAGCATCAAATTAGTTTTAAGGAGGGTATTGCTTCAAACATACATGCTAAAAACAGGAAGAAATGGCAGCTGATGGTTTGGAAAACAGAAAAAAAAAAGGATTTTCTAGAATATAATCTAGTGTATTGTTACTTTTCTGTCACTGGGACCAAATACCTGACAGAAACAACCTAGAGGAAGATTTATTTTAGCTCATGGTTCCACAGGATCCAGTTCATCATGATGGGGAAGGCGTGGTGGAGCAGAGTAGTCCACATAATGGTGGCCAGGAAGCAGAGAAAAAAGGGGAAATTAGGAAGCATCCAGGGCAAAATATGGTCCTCAAGGGCATGGCCCCACTGACCTGCTTCCTTCAACTAGGCCCCACTTCCTACTTGTCACCACCTCCCCAAAATGTCATCGTATTATAAAGCCATCAAGGGATTAATCTCAGTATGGCAGAACCCTCATGTTTCTGAAGATGCCCTCACAGACAAACGCGGAAGTGAGCTTTACTAATTTCCTATGTGATTCTCAATCCAATCAAATTAATAATTAAGATCAATTTATTTGTTACAAAGAGCTCTAGGGTTATCAATGTGTTCTGATGGACCATTGCATATTTGATGTTGGTTCTGATGATAATGGCCTTGAGTCACCAAGCTTCACAAAGATTTTCTTGGAACTAAAATCTCTGAGGTCCAAACCTTCATCTCTCCTATACCCTGTTGTCAACCCAGGAGTCTTAACTATGCCTAGTGTAAAGAAGGCAATCAGGTGATTGTTTAAAAATAATCACTTTCCAAATTCATTAAAAACTTAGCTATCTAAGTAGTCCAGGAATGCTGCCTTTTGGGCTTTTGCAATAAACTGTAATTTAGGTGATACTTCAGTTAGTTCCTTTCTCAGTAAAATCCTACAGACTCAAATTTCATCTATCTTAGTTATGTTCCTTCTAAAAGAAAAAAAAACACTATTAGCTAGTCACAGGAAACCATTATCATGTTAGTTATTTTTAATTGAAACTCTAATAGAACTTAAAGCCCTTGTCTTCTTTCTAGAAATCTTTTGCCTAGATCCTCCAACTATCTTTAATGGAAGACACACAGGCACTCTTCTGGGAAACATTTCCTATGGAAAAGAAGTATCTTACACATGTGATCCCCACCCAGACACAAGGATGACCTTCAACCTGATTGGAGAGAGTACCATCCGTTGCATAAGTGACAGTCAAGGGAATGGGATTTGGAGTGGCCCTGCCCCTCGCTGTGAACTTTCTGTTCCTTCTGGTCAGTATCCACTTTCACATGTCCTAAATGTGGAAGAATCTCCGTATTTCTTTAGTGATAGTCATTCTTTCTGTGAACATGGCTTTGTTATAAATGGTAGAGACAGAAATACCATCCAGGAGAATGACAGATAGATTCTAGATATGGATATTGTGTCCCAGTTGTTGATATTCCACCCAGGCCAGGTGATGCTCACCTGTAATCGCACCTACTTGGGAGGTTGAAGTAGGAGAATCCTTTGAACCCAGGAGTTCAAGGCCAAGCTGATGATACAGTGAAACCCTATCTCAAAACAAAACTTGATGTAAGACCAATTTGGTAGTATTCTGGTGTCCTTTCCTATGGATTGAGTGTGTAGAACCATAAGGGCATTGGAGAATAGAGAGAATGTGTAAGGTCCTTTTGTAGAGAAGATTTTCAAAGCCCTGAAAACAAGTGTCAAAGAAAATACTCTTTTGATATCGCTACTGTTAGTTTTCTTCATCTTAGATGGATGTGTTGAACAAAAACATATGGTAGAATTTGCTTTAGAATCGATAATACTTTAGAAATAATTAAAGAAATTCAGATATCAGTATTTATATTCTTTTTGTAACCCTGAGTCTTTTGTTCAAGTAGTTACCTACATTTAGTTAGCCCTTCATCAATAACAAAAGGAACTCAGGATGCCTTGGATAAGTGGAGGTTTAGGTTATGTGCTTAGTCTCAGTAGCTCTTTCTTTTATATATTCATCTGGCTTTAAATGAGAATACTTGATGATCTTATTAGGCTCATTTGTGGCTGTGACTGCCCACATGAGCTCTCCCTCCTCCAGTAAAGATATATCAGTACTGAATTGGTAGTTTGAAGATACCTGTGGTCCTTTGATCTGATATAGTCTACAGGTAGAGAATACAGAGGGTTGTGTTTAAATGCTGAGGTCTAGATGTATAGAATCAATCTTCCACTCATTAGCTAACAGTTTGTGAATTATGACCTACCTACCTGTCTTAGGTTTTCATGTACCTCTAATAACTGAAGATATTTGTGTTAGTGTGTTTACACTTGTAGGTTTAACTGGAAGTGTTTCCTTGGTTTGTGTTTTTAGCATGCCCACATCCACCCAAGATCCAGAATGGGCAATACATTGGAGGACATACATCTTCATATTTTCCTGGGATGATAGTCAATTACATTTGTGACCCTGGCTACCTGTTGGTAGGAAAGGCCTTCATTTTCTGTACAGACCAGAGAACCTGGAGTGAATTTAATCATTATTGCAAAGGTATCTCATTTCTTAGTATTTCTTACTCTTTCTGGGTTGCTATGGTATTGAATTTGAAGCTAAATAAAGCTGAGATATCATTGACATGATGGTGATATAACAAGACTGAGAGGATAGCAAAATGAGTATCAATAGAAGATGAGAAAAGCAGAACAAGAGGTAGAAATGAAGGCTACTCTGGGATCCTTATGTCTACTCAACAAGTGGGACGAACACATGGCATTTCCAATAATAAATAATACAGTAAGCATCACACACGCACACACGCACACACACACACACCCCAATGTAAAATGTTGACTTTTAACTAACAGCTCTAAAGGACCTCAGAAGGCTACAGGTGGTCCTCACAAATGCTCTTAGAAAGTAAGGGGTTATAAGATTTCTTTACTGTGTTAAAATTGAAGCTTGAAGTCAGACAATGTCTTCCCATCATACATGAGCAAAGAGGTAAGAGCAATTAATTCCTAGACTTGCTGAATGTGGAGCCTCATTATAGTCCACATGACCAAAGGTTTACTTCATCTCTTCCATGTAACCAGTCCTCAAGGATTATTTCCTTTATTTCAGTCTGTTTGCAAAAGTGCCACCTGAATTAAAAAATCTTCCTTGAAATGTTCTAAAAAGCTAAAAAGTAGAGAATTAAAAATAATATCCCATCCTTAAGCAAGGTTCTAAGGTCTTTCCAAAAGTTATTTGTGTTGAACTTCAAAGAAGCTGGGGTTATTATTATTGCAGTCCTACAGAGGAGAAAATTAAGATCAATTAAGATCACAGCTTGTGAGTAAGGGGTCAATGATTAGACCCCAGCTGAAGTCCTACTTTTAAACACTGCACTGTCTACTGTTTCCTTTAAAAATGTGGGCTCTTTTGACTTAAAAAAAAAAAAGCTAAGTTGAACTAGAGGAATGGCTCAAGCGATAAAGCATCTGCCTAGCAAGTATGAAGCCTTTAGTTCAAACCCACCAAAAAAAAAAAAAACAAAACAAAACACTGTTAAGTGATTTGCCTCTTTTTTTCTCCTGTCTATTCCTTTATTTATATTTTAATTTAAACCTAAGGGAAGGGGTGGCTTAGGACAGACTTCAGACATACCAGTGTTTCAAATGTTAAAGAATAGTTAGTCCTATAGCTCACCCAGAATGGAGGATCATATAGCCCTGCCTATCCCCAAAGTCTCAGAAATCCTAGCCCTCTCATTCTAGAGATAGAGAAAATGAGGCCTGCCATATAAATGATAGTGACTCACTCTTCCATACTAATTGGTAACAACAGATTGCACAAAACACAGAGTCCTTGTGGCTATCTTCACATCTAGATGTTCATCCTCACTTTCTTCTTTTACATAAAAAAACTTAAAAATTCAAAAACTATTTCAAAGATACAGATTGAGACTCTGGGAAGGGTCTTCCCCTGAAACTAAAAAGGGATATACTATTGTCCTGGCACCTGCTTTCTTCTCACTTATATACTTATGTGTTCAAATGTTCTAAGTTATTACATAGTTTGTATTCATTTTGTCTTAATAACTGTCCCTTCAAGCATGTCTAATAACATTTGCTTGTCCATCTTCAGCACTGTAAAATCAGCCAGCAACATTGTTTAAAGACAGATTCTTCAGTTCCATTCCCTGGGCTCTGGTTCTGTGTTGAGAAGCGATCAAATGTCTGTTTTTAACAGATCCATCAAAAATGTCTTATGTAGGAAGACCACAGGCCATACTTCAAGAAATACTACTTTACCTTATTGATACCTATAAAAGGACAATATTTTAAACTAATCTTGAGACTATTACAATAGAAAAGGAGGTTTTGCTTGAAGTTGAATGGAGAAGGTATGATGACAGGGCAAAAAATGGAAGCAAATCAAAGGATGAGTTAAATGAGACAAAATAAATTAAGTAGAAAATGGTGTTTTGAATTCAGAACCATTGCTTACTAGCTTCCTGGTTTTCTATATAGAAATGGGGCAGAAATATCAATTTAATCAAGACCAAAAATGCCAGCATATATTGCATACCAAGAAAGAATTTACATGATACTGCTGTTCCCTTATGGTGTTACTTAAGTGGGTGCAGGGATAGAACTTGGTTGTTCTAACGCCTGATCCTTCCAGAACTTTGCAGTTGCACAGTGAATGATCAAAATTACTCTATTTTCCCTCACTGTACATAGAAATGAAAGTCAAAGAATTTTAAGTCATAGAAAGTTTAGGAGAGGAAGGGGTCAATAATTTCTAATTGAAAACACACCCCATCTTTGCCAAGGGCAAAGTAAATATGGGGTTGTAGATCTTTCTATTATGGTGATTTCAATTAACAATCCACACACAAAACCCCTCACAATTTCCTTCTGAATTTTCTCATTTCAGAGGTGAAATGTAGCCTCCCACCATTAATGAATGGAATCCAGAAGGAGATGGAAATGAGAGAGTACCGCTATGGAGATAATATAACTCTGAAGTGTGAGAATGGGTACACTCTGGAAGGCAGTCCTTGGAGCCGTTGCCAGGCAGATGACAGATGGGACCCTCCTCTGGCCATATGCACACGTGGTAAGTGCAACTGCAGAGAATGTAGCTTCTTCCCAGCCATGGTAACTGTTCATCCACTCATCCATCCTTGGCATCAAGTGTAATGTGGTATTTGTGGTATATACTAATTAAGGAGTTAAGGATGCACCATTTCAAAACATGACAAATTAGAATATTGATTATTGCAAGGTGAAGTTACTTGTGGAATTGTAACTGCAGAAAAGGCCATTTGGCCTGTCTTTTCCTGAATGGAGCAAGCCATAAAGATTCTTTTGAGGCTGGGCACAGTGACTTAGGTCTATAGTCCTAGCTACTCAGGAGGTAGAGATCAGAAGGAGTGTGGTTGGAGGTCAGTCTGAGCAAATAATTCATAAGACCCCATCTCAACAAATAAAAAGCTGGGCACGGTGGCATGTGGTTGTCATCCCAGCTAGTTGGGAAGTGTAAATAGGATCACCATCCAGACCAGCCTGAGCATAAAGCGAGACCCTATTCAAAAAAAAAAACAAACACAAAAAGGGCTGGTGGTATGGCTCAAGTGGTACAGCACCTGTCTAGGGAGCACAAGTGCTGAGTTTAAACTCCAGTACTGAAAGACAATTCTTTTGGAGGGGCTGGGAGGGTAGCTCAATGGTAGAGCTCTTTGCCTGCTATACTAGGCTCTGGGTTTGATTCCCAGCACTGCAAAAATAAAAATTCTTTCAGGAGGGATATTCTCTCTCTACCCAGATAGGAAAATAACCTTTATCATCAAAAATTTGAATCTGGGGCTATAATAAACCTGACTATATGAATTCGTTACAGTAAACCTTATCTTGCTCTAGCTTTTCTATTCCTGTGCTCCAAACATCTCTTTATGACATTCCCAGAATTTACCCTAGTCTAGAGATCCATTCATCCTTATTTCTTCACAAATTTTTTGTTCTTTGTATAAAGAATATAAAAGCATCTTGCTTAGGTCAATATTCAAGCTTTGCTTTCTTATGAAGAGCCCCATGTACTTATCAATCTAATAAAATTTTTCTCTTGTTAATCAGCCTTATATAAATTTGGTTCCTGGATCCAGTCAAAGACCCCACCTAAAAACTAAGTGGAGATAGAGGGGTCTCTTCCCCTATCCTAGCTACACAAGCCACCACCTCTTCCCCAAAAGCTCCTAGCAAGTAGAGTAGGACCAGTCTTTCTTCATAATTCTTACCCCATTCATCTCTCCTCCTCAGGGATCATCTTTGTTTATACCACTCTATATCTGCATGCATCATCTGGTAGTGATTTCTTTATAATCTAGGAGCCTTACAAGTCAGGAGAACATCAGTGGTAGAGGAACACCTTCCACCCTGAAAAGATCATGCCCACCTCTCTCGTTGCTGTGGGTACAGGATTTGGAAATCAAGTTTCCCTGAACAGGAGTGTAGCCCTCTGCTGGCAACTGGAGTGTGCTATGAGGTAGAAAAGTATAAGCTTTACACAACAAGGAGCAGATGAGCAAAATTAACAATGAAGAACTTTTCTTATCCAAGTTAGTGCTAGGCTTTCCTGTCTCCCACCTCTTCAAGGTTCTTGGTTATATACCAAGATTGTTCAAGATAGATTTTTATAGTTAATCCCTTAAATGTATTAACTAATGATCATAAATAATGTTTCTAAATTATAAACTCAACCCTCTTTTAATATCAAATTGTACTCACTTCTCTGGCAAAAAGCTCATTGGTTAACTGGTTGAGAGACTGCAGAGTAATCTGGCTAGGATTGATGGACTATTTAGATAATTAGGGAACTGACACTACCAGATATTAAAATGAAACATAAAGTTGCAATACATGACTCACTTTACACTGGCAGAAGAATAAATATATAAGTGGGGATATTTTATATTAATAAAATAAAGATTTATTATAAGTAGAAATAAAATTGTCTTTCAGATGTAATAATGATGACAGAAACCCATGGGAAAGGAAAAGCTATCACATAATAAGATTAACATTGGGAAAAATTTAAGAACCTTCTTTTTATATTAAAATAAATACAAGGAATGATAAAGAGTTAAAAGTTTTAAAAACCATATAAAAGGTAAATTTAAAAAAAAAACTTACTTATCAAACAACTAGAGCTGGGGATGTCGTTCAGGAGTAGAGCATGTATTTGGCATGTATAAGGCCCTGAATTCGATCCCCAGTACCACCAAAAAATAAACAACAAAAACAAAACTAGAAGGAGGCCAAATTTTTGAATGGAGATTTGACTGAAAAAAGATCTTAAAAGATGTTGACTTTTTTGACCTGTTACCACTTTGATTTAGAACATGTTTACTTTGAAAATAAGTAAGAAGGCACTAGATAGATGGGAAACACAGGGAGCATATAATGAAGGATTAATAGTGTTAACATACAAATAGTAGTTGTGGTAGTTGTGCTGGTAGTAATACTTAAATGATTAATATATACACATATATTGAAAACATTAGTACTACTGTTTGAAGATTAGAGATAGAGAGATAGATAGATTCTAATTTAATGTACACAGCAACCCCTGAGGGGAGTAGCATTCTTCTTATGATCTCCATTTTACAGATGTGGAACCTAAAGCACAAAGGGTTCAAGTAACTTGCCCAACAGGTGACTCTACCTATCTGTATAGAATGTGTACTTTAATAAGAAATAAATGGAAAGAGTTCTAAATAAATGATTCAAAAAAGAGAATTCCAGGATTAATCTTAGTAAAAGGGAAAGTTATTAGGCCAATGTCCCAAATACAAGATAAAAAGCCATTCTTCAGATAGGTGGAGATAATGAGACACAAGCCAAATAACCATTGACCAGCGGGTTCTTAGAACTCCGTGTGAATTGGGCAGGACCACAAGTGAATTCCTTTTGTCCCTAGGGTAGTCTTATTCCTCTCTACCCTATCTAGTCTTGAAGTTTGAAATCTTACCACCTTGTAGGAAGAAGCAAAGATGAGACCTTGGAAAACAGGAGGGGAAAAAACAGTATTTGTCCCTAAGGTTTAAGATAGATTGCTCAAGATACCAGTCCTAGGCCTCCCTAAAAAGGAAGCTGGGGAATAAATCTTGACTGTGGTCCAGGCTTAGAATAACATACCATGGGGAGTTTTGAGAGCAATCCAAATAAGAAAAGTGACCTTTGAGTACTAGCATCAGAAAATGAATTTCTTGGAATTCTCAGGGCCACCATATTCCCATTTCAATGGCCCAGATACGCTAGAGTAATAGCTTCATCTACTTCAGAGTAAGGAGTAATCTTGAGCTCCCTCTTAAGACCAATTAATACATACAACTCATAATTAAAGGTGTTTATCTCATGACTCATGTAAGCATAGTATTGCATGCAGGATGTATAAGTTCAATTCCAGGCAAGATGCAAAAGTTCAGAGAAGTCTTCACTAGAATCCCTGAGAGGTTAAGAGAAGGATTATACTATATGACACTTAAAATTTTTTTTTCCTAAAATCCACTCTTTGCACTTCTGTATCCAAGAGTCCCATTCATCAGAGCTAGCTTCTCTTTTCCATCTAGACTGTCTCTCAAAGGCTCCAGCACAAGTCCAGACCGTTCCCCTCACTTTCTAGATCTTCTCAGTCCACCAACATCCCCATGCCATTTCCAAGGTAAAAGGATTTTCTCCAGTTCTGCACAGCTCAGGATAATAATCCTGAAGAGGAGCAGGGAAATACAGAAAGTGTCTTAGAGTACAGGATTTGGAGAAAGGGTATAAATAATCTTTTTATGTTGACACATAAGTATATGAAGACTGTTTAACCTCAGTAGAAGTAATAGCACCTATTGGAAGGGGGAGGACGTGGGGAAATGGTGGAGTAGGTGAATATGGTACAAATAATATGTACACATACATATAAATGGGAAAATGAGACCTGCTGAACCTATTCCAGGAAGGAGGGGACGAAGGAAAATGGTGGAGGGGGTGAATTCAAGTATGATATATGTGATACATTGTAAGAACTTCTATAAATGCCACAATGTACCCCCAGCACAATAAAAATTTTAAAAAAGAAATGTAAAAGAAAAGAACAAGGTAACCTTTTCCCATTAAATTATCAACAAAATGGGTGTTAGTGACTACCCAATAAAAAGCAAAGATATGATGAAACTAATATTGTCATTGTATGTTGTGAAAGCACCACTGGAAATTTGGGGAAAAAACCTTATGAAAGACAATTATGCAATGTGTGAAGAGAATAATGTAAATTTCATGCCAGTTAGCCCTCCCAGGAATTCAATCTAACGAAATAATGTAAAATATGAAAAATATTTTATGCATTTTAGTAACAGATTCAGAAAACTAGAAGCAAATGTATAATACAAATCACTGAATACACTATGCTACACCACTAGAATAGATTATATTAGTTTGCCTCTGTTATAATTTGCACTTCTATTACATCACAATGTAAAAACTTAGATGCATGGAAAAATGTAACAAATGGAATGTAATTTTTTTGAGTATTAGGACTATGAGTGCTATTTTTCTTTTGTTACAAATTTTCTGCTGCAAATTACATAATCTTATGATAAAAATATTAAGCAATATCTTCACTGAATGCACAGGATAAAATGAGTAAAACCAAAGGCTTTTTATATTAGAAAAATTACAAGAAAAATCAGAATGGAAATGTACTACCCAAAGAGCCTGTTTGATGATGTACGCCAGCCTGATGTTTTTGTGGCTTTTGTCTTCCTTTTAGGACCACGTAATGCTCTCATAGTTGGTAAGTTTTATCAAGGCTTTGATGAGAAATTTTGGGACCTTAACAGCAAGTATGTACTTACAAGGAATGAAATGTAAAAAGAGATAAAAATATATTATAAATTCAATTAAAATGAAAGTAAGTTTAGGCTAGGGTATGGTGAGACTGATATCCTCATATATCACGAAATCCTTTTTACTATTTTTGATTCATTCATATTACCATATGAATGAAAAGTTATTCTTTAATGTCAAATTTCTTTATTTTACTATGTGTGGCAACAACTTCCTTTTGCTTTATAACTGGCAAATATGCTTCCAGACAGTAATCATGTCTATTTGCACAAATTCAAAGCCCCAAGACCAGTTTGCTGAGTTCGTTTCTGTGGTTTGCTTATGTAAGAAGAATAGTTTTATAATAGTGTTTGCATGGAATAGCCTGTGTCTTACGACTTTCCTGAGAGACACGAGCCAGGGCTGTGGGAATGGGAGTCCATTGATGTTTTCCACCTACTTGTTGAAAGCAGATGTTGGACTAAAGATTATAAAGTGCTCTGCTCACCCCTTAACTGTAATGCTATGGTAGAACTCATGTTCTAGATTAAATCCAGGGTGAAGCCGAATTTACAGTTACATTTAAAAATCGTTGGGGACCTCTAGTGGGACTAGATGCTAGAGTTTTAAAGCTGTGAATTGTATTTTCCATGTGTTTATTTTGTTTTACTGCCTAGGCATTTCTTTTGGCACCACCTTTTTTGTTTCATCCATCATTGTTTCCCTTTGGATCATCCTAAAGTACAAAAAAAGGTAAGTGCAGCCACCTTCTCCATGAATGTATTTGTCAAAGGAAAGTAAAAGAAAGCCTCAAAACAAAAACAAGACCTACTACCACATAGACAAATGTGGAAAAAGTAAGGCCTTGACACACACAATATATATATATATATATATATATATCACACACACACCATAGTACACACACACACACATATATGTATATATATATAATCACATATATTATATATATATAATAAGGACTTCTTATTTAAAAAAACATTCTAAGAGGAAATTGAGAAGAGAAGAAACTGGCAGGAGGAGTTTTTTTTTAACGTATTAATGAGGCCACTGACACCCTAGTTCTTCTGAGACATTGCAGATACTGACCTCTAAACACAGTTGCTATCATAACACTAGAGGTTAGATTGTGTGTCCCCTTGGCACACGTAGCACAGGCTGCCAGTATGGTAGAAGAGAGACTTGGCAAACGTATTTTTTTTAAATCTTTTGTAAGCACCATTCACTTTTTAAATTTGCAAAAAAAATGTAAAGATTAAGAGCTAAATAAAATAATTTTACCAGGAAGAAACATAAATAGCTTTTGTACTGGCTGATTTCATTGTAACAATATCAGTGAAGTCAGAATCAATGAAAACAGTGTTATAAGGCTGATGAGCAAATTCTAAATCCATGAGGAACCATTTAAATCTTTTAAGTGAACAGTTTTCTACAGCAAATATTCTTTATGAATATAGTCTCTACACCAATCTTTACAGAAACTGAAGTTTTGATATTTCACAGAAATATCACAGAAACACCAATAAACTTTTCTAAAAAGTAGATTGTCACAGTAGACCTTCTTGCAAGCAACCTAGTAAGGAATTCAATTTCATAATAAAATAACTAGCAGAGATAGATCTAAATTAAATCTTTATCCCTCCTGACCAATGTTCTCTATATTCTATGGCTTTTCATGTAAACATTCTTTGCCCTTTTTCCTTAAGAAAAGAAAAGGCAAGATGGTTATAGTAACAAATGTAAATGTGTTGATCCTTTTTTCAAAGTTCCTCATTACATATTACTGTAATTTGTGAGTTGTTTTTTCATTTTAACTAAGGCTGAATTAACGGCGTAGAGGATTCTAATTTCTATGTCTGTATCAGTCTCTAGTTAGAACTACCCAAAGAAAATGATCATCTCTTCCTCCTGGAAATATTCAAAATGACCTTCTACCTCCTCTCTTCTAAGTAGTCAAACATGGCTTAGCAACAGAAAGGCTGGGATGTGTTCTGACGAAGGCATAGCAAGGTGATTTCCTTGTTATGTGAACACCACAGAAAGTCCTTATACAAACTAAGATGACCACGACACCACTAGATGGTGTAATCTTATGGGAACACCATTGTGAATGCCGTATGTCATTAACTGAAATGTATTATGAGCATATATGCACTGCATTTCTTACTCTTATGGCTTAACTCTCAATCAACTGTTAGCTCAAATTCCCAAGTCTGGCTATCGATTTATTTCACCCATGTAATTAAGATCATTTCCTCATAATAATTTTTCTCAAGCATAAGCAAGACTCAATAACTTATTTCAAAAAATTCTTTCCTTCAAAATGATTATTCATCTAGTCTAAACCTCAGAACACATACTGATCCTTCAGAAGGTATTCCTTATCTTAAAACCTGTCTCCTGTTTTTTCCACATCCTTTAAAAGTGTCACATTCATGGTACAATCATTCTCCTCTCACCAGTGGCAACCAGGGATGTGGCAGGGTAAAAAATCCTGGTCCTCTTTAGCCTTAAAGATCAGAGAGGTCAACTTCTCACACATCTAAGTAATTTGCAATAAAAACTATTACATCTGTGTAATCCAAGAAAATTTGAAAACATTTTCTAAACTTTCATTTTTGATCTGTTGCATTTTTGGAGGGGTAATGAACACATTACTATCACAAAACACCATTTATTTTCATGTTAGAATAATGCAGAACTAAAATTAGGGGGAGCAAATATTAAGAAGGTAAATATGGTCAATGTACTTGATATATGAGTGAATATAGAACTTTTAAACCTATTGAAATCACCATAAGAAGAGGACTAATGTAGAAAGATGAAACATGGAGGGGATGAACCAATTTGTGATTATATATATGGAAGTTATATATATGGAAATCATAATGAAATTCCCTATATATCTCTCTTAAACAAACAAAAAATGTCTTTTTTCAAAAACATAGGACAGGAAGATAAAACAGGTCCTATCTGGGGGTTGATACTAGTGGGAGCAGATGACGATTTAAAGAAAAAGAGTAAGATGGTGAATATGGTAGAAATATTATGTATTCATGTACGAAAATGGAAAAATGAGACCTGCTGAAACTATTCTAAGAATTAGGGGGGTGGAGATAAAGGAGAATGATGGAGGGAGTGAATTTAACTAAGATATATTGTAAGCACTTTTGTAAATGTCACAATGTACACCTGTGTCATGATAATATGATAATTTAATTTAAAAAACTTGAATCATGGGGATGCAGAGGTCCAGTCTCTTGGAAGTGGTTGGCTGATCAGTCACCTGAGTGTGTGCAGTCATAGGTTGCGGGGCAAGCCAAGTTAAGTTGATGTAGCTATGTGTGAGGATTATCGCTTTTCTCACAGGAAGACAGTGCACACAGGTCCTCACAGTAATGGAGGAGCAATATGTGAGAGACATAGTGCAGACACCATATTATTGGGCCTCACAGAGCTGGTGACCACAAGCTAGTAGTCATCCCACCAGAAGAATGGTTTACCTGAGAGCTAAAAAGGGTGACAGAGGGAATAGTTTAGAAGGAGGTGGCCTATTATGAGGAAGACCTAGAGTCAAACTAGGCCTGAAATGGAGCAGATCATCTCTGATATAGGCCACAATTCAGAAGTTGCATAAGCAATCTGAAGATTCACTAAGAATGTAAAATGACATAAAAATAGAAAGACTACAAACACAAATAGTCCCACCTTCTTGCAAACACTCCTCAATGTTACTATCTTACTTTAACTAACCTATTAAAGATTGTGCACCATACCCTCACATTCTGAATCACCAGCCTTCTGCTCTTTGTTAACTATGCCTTCCTCATGCGGGAGAAACTCTGGCCCCAACTCCTAGCCTTTCCCTTAGTCTCAGTGTTACCATCATTCCCGGGAAAGAGGAACTGCATGATGAGGAAGTAGTAAATGTTAGTGAGGTAGCTTTGTGCTTCTATTCTTCAATCCCTGATGCCAAATCAGACACACAGTCTGCAGGCACTGGTATATATTATTTATTGTTTCATTTATATAATATGAAATGCTTAAGTAACCCCCAAAGAGGCCCTGTTGCATTCCAGGTAAAAGCACAAGCTTTGCCATCAGAGAGACCTGAGTTCACGGTCACGTACTAGCTATGAAATCCTGGGTAAAACACTTAATCCTAGATGGGCATGGTGACACTCTTCTGTAATCCCAACTACTCAGGAGGCAGAGACAAGAAGATTTCAGTTCAAGGCCAGCCTGGGAAAAGTTAGTGAGAAGACCCTATCGCAAAAATAAAATACAAACAAAAGAGCCAAGGGTGTGGCTCAAGTGGTAGAACACTTGCCCAACAATGTGCAAGGCCCTTGGGTTCTATCCCCAATACAACATAAAAAAAAATTAAAAAGACTCTTTATTCTCTCTTCACTTCAATTTCCTTGGCTGTGAAATGGAGATAATTCCTACCCTACTTAACACAGTGCCTCCCTTACAATGAATGTCAGAAAATGTTAGCTATTATTTATACATGATTGTTAGTATTGATGTTAAAAGGTGATTAAATATTTCCTCTTACTGTAAATTCTTATATACAGTCATCCTTCAGGATCCAAAGGCCATCTAGGACTCTTACAAATAAAAAAATCTTCAGATGCTCAAATCCATTATTTAAAAAAAGAAGTACTGTTTTCCTTTTATCTACACACAACTTCCTTCTATGTACCACAAATCATCTCTAGGTTACTTGTAATACAAATGAAAATGCTACATAAATAGTTATTACACTGTATTGGTTAGCTAATAATGACAAGAGAAAATCTGTACATGTTCAGCAGAGTCAAAACTGTCTGTAATATTTTTTAGCTGAGGTTGTTTGAATATGTGGATATTAACCAGAGGGTAGGGCAGGGTGACTATCCATTTATGCCAGCTACTGTTGGGTATTCCTTTTATGTAAAATAGAATTTTCCAACATTATTCATGCACTGGTTGATAAGAAAAAATTCTTGGTATAAGATTTCAAAGCAAAGCCACTTATATTGAGAAGTTTATCAAAATCTTGTGATAACCCCTATTTCCTAATCAAAATTACTCTAGAAATAGTGAAACATGTTGTTTGAAGGCATGGATAACTGACTATAACCAACTTAGAGTCTTCTGATACAATATAGAGGATGGTTTGAGTATTACTTCCTAATCCAAATTTTTTACTTAGTGTTAAAAGATGAGATTTACTTATCATTTTCCTTTCAGACAGGAAACTTGAGGCAAATTATATCTTAAATTTCTTTCAAAACTGAAACCAAGGTGATAACAGTTTTTCTGGGTCTTTTTCCCTCTGCCGACTAGGAATGATACAGATGAAAAATCTAAAGAAGTGAATATCCATTTATACCCTCAAGAAGGCAGCTGTGCTCATCCTCAAACTCTGCTACCAAGCTAGGAAAAGAACAGGTATCTGTGTACACCTTTATGCAAAATGTTTGCAGCAACTCTTATGTTGAAAATAGAAACAGGGAGGGGGTGGGGGAAGGGGAGAGAAATGACCCAAACATTATATGCACATATGAATAAAAGAAATTAAAAAAAATAGAAACAGACATTGAATAGCATATTGCACTAGGAAAGTCACTGATACCAAAGACTTAGAAACTACTTCGTGAGCTGAAAAGGTTTTGTTTTTTCCATTGATTATTGTCGTGTCTAATGACTCCGTGAGATGACTCTGTCAATGCCATGCCCATATCATTTTTTCAAAGAATTCCTATAGTCTTGTGGTATATACTCTGAACCTTTGGGAAGTAGTATGCTTTTCTTTCTCTTGGGTATACCAAGCATTTATGGTCTGGGTGCACCTCCAAGTCCTCCAGTCTCCCTTAATGTATAAGATCACTTCCAGGTCCTCTAGACCCTTGCTTTACCTTTTCTCTGATTCTTGACTTTCTCTGAATTCTCCACCTCAGTTGACCTCTTGTGACTCTCTCTTCTGTCCTCCTCCACTGGGATTTACTACCACCCCTAACTCTTCATCCCACCTCAACACAGCCTCACCACCAACCCTTGGGTGGTAAATGATAGCCATGGGTTTGGGGTGAAAGGGGAGTAATACAACAGCAAGTAGCATATGTTATACAATGGAATATTGCAAATCTCTGAGCTAATAAGGAACTAGCTGCACCAAGGGTCTGAAAACTATAATCTGTAGGCCAAATCCAGTTAGCCACCTGTGTTTGTAATCACAGTTTTACTGACTCAGTTACTCACATTCATTTACCTGTTGCCCATGTTTGCTTTCCCACTGTAACAGCACGGTTGAACAGTTACAACAGAGACCCAAAGACCATAGGGTCCACATTGCCAAAAATATCAATATTTACTAACTGGTACTTGAGTGGAAGAGTTCAGCCACCCCTCAACTATATCATAGTCTTAGGAAATTCTCACTGACTAGTCCTCCTTTCAAGCCCTGGATTTCCACCATTTTCTTGGGCCTCTCTCTCTTTGGATCCCCTCCCCTTTCCTCAAATCTTTCCTGCATACTGGAGGCCCCTTATTTAGATTCTTGGACCTCTTACAAATTCAAAGCTCCACTGATCTGAATCATGCAGAGCAATTCATTTGGTCCTTGCTTGCTCTGGCTGTTCCCAGGAATCCTAGTATTTCTCATCCATGGGTCCACAGGAAATTGTCAGAAATAATTGCACCATATGCCCTAGAAAGGAATTAGGCCACTCCTCTAGAAAGCAATAGCAAAAAGCACATTCATTAGTAAATTTCCTTTCTTTCTGTCCTACCTCTGTCTCATATCAATTTGCATTCATTTAAACCTGGCATCCTCTATCTACACACATGTCAGAAATCCTAAATTTCACAAAGGGTAGTGCCTCAGGAAAAAATAAGGGCATAGGGAAGTTATTTATGGTTAAAGTATTTTATAGCTATCTAATCAAGTTATATCTTGATATAAGCATAGACAATTCAAATTTTTCTAAACAAAAAAACCACAGGTTATGTCCCCTTTTCTCCTATAGTAGAGGTGAATTTTCAGTGCCCTCGTTTGTTCTCTGGCTTCTCACTCACTTTGCCTCTGTCCTATAACTAATTTTTTCTTACTTTTTACAAAAGCAAATGAAATACACATTGAATTTTTTTTAATTTAGAATTGATATTACACTTTTTCAAGTTTAATGGTCATCTAGCCTTTCAAATGAGTGTTTGTGTGTGCCTTGGAATGCAGGATTAGTATGCCAAAAGGATATAAAAGTCACGTGATGAAAATGGCATGTCATCTTAGGAGAATGTCTTTTCCTAATATTATCCTAATAGTTGAAGGGAAAACTAGTATTATTTCTATATTAACAGGAATACACATATAAGTGAGCAAGTCTCACTGTGCCTGAGATTTAGAGATAAAATTAGAAGAGAATATTGTGCTTTCATGGATGTCCTAATTTAGGCCTCAAGGCCCTTGGGTGAGGCACCCATTCTCCTTTACCATTGGAGTGTTAGGATGGGAAAGCTGTGTAAAATTGATCCAAGGTCAGAGTGCTGTCACTAGTTATAAAGAAAAAATAGTAGATTCATAGTAGACTGTGAGAACCATGATCACTTTAAAAAATATTGCACAAGAGTGCTTAAAATACCATCTAATTTGGATTCATTCCTGCCAGACTGCCTGCCTTTTCCACCTTTCTTTTTGCCTAAGTTCCATTAACACAGCTTGGAATTCCCTCACCCAAAAATTTCTCTCAAACAACTCCAGGCTTGTCTGTCTTTTAAAATTAAAGCTTTTCCTGATTGTACTGTTTTTAAAACAAACCATTTTCTTTTAAGAATAATAGGTGCTCATTGTTGAAAACAGGAAACATATGAAAGTAAAATTTATGTACATATATGCTACCTTCATTAAATTCTACCCAGTCGTAGTACCGTTAGGCATTTTTAATATACTATTTTACATCCAAAAGGTTATATCTTGAGTTTATATTGAATGTACACTGTTGAATCCTGCTTCTTTTCACCAATGACAACCATTTCTTCCATCCTTAAAACTACATCTAGTATTTGACATTAATGTGTCTCTTTTTGCCTATTAACTCTATTGCATTCATTGACCTGCTCATTTATTCTTCATTCATCAGTCACATATAATGTACCAAATATTGTGCTTACATTTTCTTTTCCATACAAGTTTGTTATATGTAGAGACCATATTATTTTAATTTTTCCAAACCAATAAGTATAGATTAATCAAATGAGAAGTGTTCAACAAACACTTGAGAATGAATTTATCAAAATTTCATTTTTCTTCAACTTCTTGAAAACACTCTTTTATGTCAAAATACAACTCAGATTGTGCACACTGTTAATTGCCTTTTAATAGAAAGATGGGAAGTTGTATAAGTCAGACTTTTCATCACTGTGACAAAATACCTGATGAAAACAACTTAAAAAGAGGAAAGATTTATTTTGGCTTGGGGTTTCATAGGCTTTACTCCATGGGTGCTTACCCCCATTGCTGTGGCTTGTGGTGAGGCAGAATATTGTGACCCAAGGGTGTGATGAAGCAGAGCCAGGAAGGGGCTAGAGACAAGGTATATCTTTCCAGACACTCCCCCAGTGACACACTTCCTACACCCCACCTCCTAGTTTTACGCTGTCTCCCACTAATGCTATGATATTATAAATCCATGAAGGATTAATCTATTGATGAAGTCAGAGATTTTATGATTCAATCACCTCTCAGCAATTATATCCAGCAGTAGGGAACCAAGCCTTCAATATGTATCCAAACCATAATAGAAGTCCTTAATAACCTTGTCTCAAATTTCCTTTTTAAGATTGGAATCTTGACCAGTGTTTCACAGGAGTAAGGTTAATTGTTTATGGCAACACATGGTAGACAAGGAGTCAGTTAGAGGCTGTACCCAGCATTAAGACCTGTGCATCCAGGCCAGGTTCTGGGATAGTGGGTGGCACAGGTAAACAGGTTGATGCCAAAGGCACAGCTGTGTGTTGAAGGAGAAGATATGAGAATGTTTGGAGGACATGCAGGTAGCAGGTGATGTTGGGAATCCTTGTGAGACAGAAAGGGAGTGATGATGAGGAATCAGGTGACAGGAATAACTGGGGTGGGAGGTGTCAGTGAGTCAGTGACCTCATCAGGTGCTCTGTCCCTTGGTGGAAGGACATCATTCCTGGCCAGAGATGAGAGGCTTTAGTGTGGCTGGGAGGGCATTTGGATATCTGAATACACTACCTGAGCTCATTCTTGACTGTAACACGAGGAGGAGGATATGCTTTCTAAAGCCAACCCTCCTCTCAGACTACCAGCCTCACTTCTACAACCATGGTTCTGAAAAGACTGAAGGAATTGCTTTGTGCATTATGAGTGGCCTATTTATTGTTTTTTTTGAACAAGGTTTTTTCATTTATTTGTTCAACTCTGAGAACACATTTCTCTTTGACAAAAGGAAAAGGTCAAATTATTCATTAATCTCTCTCTTATCTACTCAGTCTCAATTTACACCATACTTTCCACTGCCCTACATAGAAACCACACAAGGGCCATAAACACTTCTGATGAATTTGTAATTTATAGATAATGTCAGAATCATGATTATCAGCAAAGAAAGTCTTAATAATTCAGTTACCCACCATGCTGTCATCTAAATAAAAAATATCCTGTTATTTCAGTGTCCTTCCTTGACAAAATGCTATACAGCTGGAGGATGCCTTGAATTACATGTTGGTTGGAAAGGAGCCAATTCATTTCAACAGAATAAGATCTGAGATTCAAAAATGTCTTTGAAGTGACTTCACAGAGATGCAAACAGGTTCACCTGAAGACACTGAAGCTTCCCATATCCAGCAAAGCTCCCCCTCTCAGCCTGCATTACCATCACTCCTTCACCCCCTTCCCTTGTGCTGAAAGCACACACCATCTAGTCAGGGGACAGGATTGCACTTAGGATGGAGAAAATTGTTCAGGGACTTAAAGGAAGGCGTCATCTAGAAATTCTGGGCTACAAGTCTGTCATTATCCTTACTTATTCTAAAATGTTCATAATATGGACATTCTCTTCATTAAAGAGAATTTGGAAAAATGCACTGAGATATCAAAAATAAGTTGTACAGAATGATACTATACAGTGATAGCCAGTTGATATGTTAATTTGCTTTCTGCTGATCTTTTTTCATATATGTGTTTATACACACACAAAAAAAATATATATATATATATTTCTTTCTTTCTTAAATAGTTCCTTTATTTTACAGTACAGAACCCACTCCTTTAAAAAGATTGGAGTAAAACATTTTTAAGACCAGTTTTCACTTTCTCCAGTGAAGAGAAGTATTACTATAGAGATAGTAAATGATCATGGGGGAGAGTGGTCAAGACTACTCAAGAGAAATAGCTGAAAAAAATTAAGCTCTGGATATTTACTAAGTTCTCTTTCAAAAGTACTTTGTATAAAAACCATGAAAAGTTGAAATAAATGAATAATTGTTATTATAAAAGAAACTAGCTTGTTTTTATATAGACTCAGAATATACTAAATCAACTAAAAAAGCATGACTTTTAAGAAGTTATCAGTCTTCAGAGGAAGTTATCAGAAGTTAACAGGTACTAAATTACAGCCAGATAGGAGAAATAGATTCTGGTGTTCTATTGCACAGTAGCGTAGCTATAGACAATAATAATGTATATTTCAAAAAAAAAAAAGCTAGAAGAAAGGATTTAGAATGTTTCTCCATAAACAAATAATAAAAATTTGAGTAAATAGATGTTTGCTCTGATTTGAGCATTACACAATATAAACATGTATCTACACATCATTCAGTGATGCCTCTCATAAATATGTATAATTTTATGTCAATTAAAAAAAAGAATTTATAAAATTAATAATTATATATTGACACCTTTAAAATAAGTGTCTCAGTAGTCTTTAACCATTCCACATCTTTATAGATAAAAAACTGATTAGGAACTGGGTTCTGGTGGTTCACGCCTGTGATCCTAGCAACTCAGGAGGCAAGAGATCAGGATGATCGTGGTTTGAAGCCAGCCAGCCCTGGCAAATAGTTCACAAGACCCTATCTCAAAAAACCCATCACAAAAATAGGGCTGGTGGGGTGGCTCAAGGTGTAGCAAGGTGTAGGCCCTGAGTTCAAACCCAGTACCACAAAAACAACAAAAACAACAACAAAAAAAACTTGATTATGATATGGGCTATGCCAGTGATCTCTAGAAAATATGAGAATCTTTCTGGATATTGAGTGACAATTTTATATATAGCTAGTGCTAATTCTGTGTAACTTTGTATTTTAATAGCTGCTTGAAGGTGTATTCTCCCACATTTAACACTACAATAAGGAATAAACTAGACATGAACTTGAATTTCAATTTAAAATTATACAAAATAGTATAAATAAAAACAGCACAAACAAAGTCCACTGACAAAAGAAAAAACAAAACAGTGCAACTCGTATCACAAAGAGTGATTGTCTTATTATGTAGAGAGGTGGAGGTTTTGGTTTTTGTTTGTTTGTTTTGGTGGCACTGGGGGTTGAACTTGGGGCCTTGCCCTTCCTAGGCAGGCGCTTTACCACATTAGCCACTCCACCAGCCACTTTGCTGTCAGTTTTTTGTGAAATAGGGTCTCACTTTATGACCCACAAGGGCTAGTAGTTAGGATTATAGGCTTGAGCCACTGCCTCTGACTGAGAGTTCTTAAAAATTCAAACACCAACCATTCCCCACTAAAAAATGAGCAAATGACTTTCAGCTAAGTAATCAAGGAGGGTAAGTAGCCTGAAAATATATACACAGTGATAGGAGCTTTAGCAAATCTCTCTTATTTCTTGGCATTTTGAAAAAGTAACTTTTAAGGGAGAAATTAAATGCTTGAGAATTGGCCTTTTTTAGAATTAAGATTCCTATTATAAGAAAAAAAGCTGTAATTTTTCTGCAGTGGAAAGGGCCAGTGAGCAATATGAGTATCTGAGCCCTATGACTTTTTAATTACAGTTAAACCACGAGGTTCTATTACATTAGTTATTGTGGGAAAAACTATACTATGAGTAAAATTCTATTTTTGCTTAACTTAACTTGTATTCAGAAATTCTGCTAACCTGCAGCCTTACCATTTTCATTTGAAAGGCAGGAGCTGGACCAATTGCTCTCCACAGCTACTTCTAGTACTGACATCCTTTGTTTTTGTTGTTGGTTTTCTGGGGTTTTTTTGCATAATGGAGGTGAGTTCCAAGTTAATTTAAGTCTATGACATTTAAATAAAATTTTCTGTCTCTGCCCTTAAAATGAGAAAGGATTAAAAAGATTTATCTTTGTAAATCTCCGTATGGAATATACTTTGTAATGTATTTACCTTTTTAAAAGCCAATATGGAACAAAATGAGATGTGTTCCTTCTGAGAAATGTCCTCTTTCTGCCCTTGGTTGTCTTCCAAGACAACCACACTCATGCTCTTGTTGATAAAAGAAAAGAAAATCAAACACGGTTTACACATGAAGTCACTTGACTGGCAGGTACTTACCAGGTACAAATAGAGGCCAATTTATGCTGCTACCCCAACTTCTGAAAGGCATAGTGGAAAAATATTAGTTTAGGAGGTAAAGAATCATCTAACATGATATCTTAAGAAGAGGTTGGCCACCATTTAATGATACCCACCCCCCACTCCCTCCATCCCACTACCCTTCTTAAAACTTTAAAGGAAATCTATACATAGTTCTAAACCTGGTACACAAATACACTCCTCTTCTATTCTCCCTTTTTCTTCTCTTTTGACAGTTTGACAAAATCTTTATGGGCAGTTGGAGGAACCATGATTGTATAATTCCCTACTTCATTTAAAGCTTTGACTCTTGACTTCTGCTCCCATCAGGGCCTCAGGAAGTTCTTTGTCAACACTCTCCCTTTGAACTTAGTCACTAAAATAATCCCAAGGCAAAGCTAAGGCATAAACTTTAATTCTACAAGTAAGCTTGCAATGCCTGATTCAAGAAAATTCTTTGTGTGTGTGTGTGTGTGTGTGTGTGTGTGTAGACAGTTGTGTCTCATTCCTTTTAAAAGACAAATTGCACTTTATTTCTTCATGTCTAAAATTATTAAGATCAAAGTTTCTCAGAGCTTTCCCAGCTTTTGTTAAATTCATACTAGGAGAGAAATGGCAGAGATGTGTTTCACACAATATTTATCAGATATTCATTGAGTGCTGGCTATGGATCTTGGCACTGGAGATACTATAAGAAAACACCATCCCAGACTCATGAAACTTGTCCAGAAAAATAGGGAACAACAAGGCCCAGAACCTTGGAATGAAGCTCCAGTTTGATCAAATGAAAATAAATTTTTAGCTCTGCATTGATGGCTCATGCCTATAATCCTAGCTACTTGTCAGGCTGAGATCGATGGTTTGCTGTTCAAGGTCAACTCAGGCAAACAGTTCATGAGACCTCATCATCCAAATAACCAGAGAAAAATGGACTGGAGGTGTGGCTCAAGTGGTAGAGTCCTGTTCAAACCCTAATCCCCCCCAAAAAAGAAAATAAGTTTTTTAAACAGTATAAAATCCTTCAAGAATAATAAAAATGGCTTGATGAACCCCAGGGATAAAAATTTTATCATTGAAACAAAATTTCAATAAGATAATAATCCTAGAATCTAACACAGTGCCTAAAACTAGAATGCCAAACACCAGCAATTTTTCCTCCTAGCTTTTTAATTTTCTCCCATACACACTAAAAAGGAAATCTTACTTCCAAGCCTAGAAATAGGCAATTTTTAATATTTATTGTTGCAAGGAACAATAAATAGCTCCTCTATTTTCACAAATAAGTGCTGACATTGAGCCAAAAAACATTTCTTTTACTTTCACAACTGTAAGCATTAACAGGAATAATTCCTCTCTCATTAGTTTCTAGTCAGTCTCTTTCATTACACTTCCTTTAATTGCCATCACAGAAATGTCTGCATTTTATATTCCATGATTCTAAGGTGTTTAATTTATATACCATCTCCACACTTAGTGTCTTATATGCTCTTCCAGGAATTTTTAAAGTTTTATTATACTGGCAAGAAAAGATTTAGTAAACTCAGAATGTCTTCAGGACTTCTCAGATATATACCTGTATTAAATGTACAAAAACTCTTACAGTTCCAGATGGTCCAGATTGGAGGTTTATATGGTGAACCTCCTTTTCCTCACCAGCTCATACCTTAACCCTAGGCAATACAGGTTTTTTTTCCCATTGTTCTATGAACAACATGGCCCTTGAACTATAGGTTGCATTTAATTTTCTTGGGTGGAACACAGGGTCAAAATACAAAAAATTAGAAAATTTGCACAAAGAAAATCTACAATCCTTTCGACTAGCTTAAGTCTGGTGTATTTTCAACTGTTCTCTCTTCAATACCCGGGACTGAATCCAGAGCGTCATGTTATGTTAGACAAGTCCTCTACCACTTGAGCTAAGCCTTCAACCCCCAGCTAGTCTCTTTTTATGTATATCAATACAATACTTTTGTTTTAATAAAAGGCATATTCTGATTTGAAGTCTGTTTCTTCCATCTATAGATATATCAGTTTCTCACACTGACATTCTTCTATAATGCTTGCTGCATTAATTCTATCATATCAGGGGTCTTTACCATAAATTCCTTAATGCTTTCCCTAGACACTTAAGAGTTTATATTTTTTCCAAAAGCATAAAGCTTTGCTCACAGCTCTGACGACTTCCTTGAGATAAACTCTGAATGGTACTGGTGGCTCAAAAGCCATGTCCATTTTATGACTTTTAACATACTGAAAAGTTAAGAGTGTTCATCTTCTCTACCTGTTCCTTCACATTGGTTGATGATTTCATTCTGAAATCTGAAAATCTGAAAAGAAAAAACATGTCAAACTCTTTTCATGCCATTCGTGTTACTTTTCCTTTCTTTACCAATCATACGGGTTTACCCACACCTCCAATCAATCTTCCACATTTGAATTTGCCAACATTGTTCAAGAGATTGTTTCACCAGAAAAATCCAAACCCTTATCCACTTCACCCAACCCATGCCTACCCATCCCAGATCCTACTGTACTAGTTGCTTCCAGGAATATGACACTTTACACATCCTTGTCTTCATATACATAGACTGCATCTTATAAAACAGTTACTCCATGGTAAGGGCCCCACAGAGTCCCAATATGCTAATACCCCAGTGATGTTTAATAATTTTCATCCATATGGGTCCTCCGTGGAGGAAAAGGAGAAGAAACTCCCTTAAAGGCTGGAATGCAAGGGACAAGCCTTTGAGATTTTGAAAACTGTAAGAGAAGGCCATCAGAGAATCCAACAGCAGACATTCAAGCAAGGAAAATTTAAGTATTGTCCCTAGTAATGCCTGAGATACCAAATAGAGCAAGGACCCACGTAGTCCGGCAGCCTGGAGTGCGCAGGGTGAGACGACCTACAAGGAGTGCTGGACTCTCCGTGACCCGTCGCCGGGATTCTGGTTTCTATTTTTAGGTAGCAGTGCTTTATTCTCCAAGCTGGAGTTCCTGGAAACGATGGCAAGACCAAATGTTCCTTTTCCATCCTTCCGGGGAAGGGTGGTAGCCCTGTTTGTAAGTGCTGCCTGGTGAGCCTGCGCTTTGCGGCTCGCTGGTGAGCCTGGAGATTGGGCTGCTGCCAGAGCGCTGGGAGGCTGGGGAATGGGCGACCAGCTGAACCCAGTATCAGCCCAACCCCGGCCACGCCCCGTCCCCCCCTCGAGGGCCTGCGCCGAGGCCACGCCTTGCTGCCCGCCGATTGGCTCAGCCCGCTCCGCCTGGAGTCACTTCCGTCTGGCACGCGGCCCCGGCCACGCCCCTGTCTTGCGGCCCGGCCGACTTTGTGAGTTTGGGGGATTGTTGCGTCTGATAACCAGGCTCAAAAAGGGCACCCCTGCCGGGCTGGCGCTCAGTCTCCCCCGTCCATCACCCGCAAGATGATGGCGTCTTCAGCGCCGCGCACGACGCCTCTCCGCTGCGGCGTGAGCCCCAGTGCCTTCCAGTGGTTCCTGATTGGGATCTTTGCGGTGGCGGTGGCAGTCCTGCTGTCTCCATACTCCGGTAGGAGCCTGGAGAGGGTGCACGCGCCCGCGGCGAGCCTGGAGTTGTGCTGGGTCGGGGAATTCGGTGGGAGGCGCGGGGCTGGCTGAGCCTGAGTCCCGCCGGGTTCAGAGGCCCGGGCTCGCCTGGGGGAGGTGGGGGGGCTGCAGTGCGCGGTTCCAGGGCGCGCGTGCGGAGCGTGGGGCTGAGGGGACCACGCAGTGTCCTGGGTGAAGGCTTGGTTGGTGGGCGTCGCTGGGCAGGGATGGTGGGCGTGCAGGGTGTTTACCGTCGGCCTAGCTCTGTGGCTAGCAAAAGCTTGCAAGGCGTCTCCCGGATGGAGTCAAATCTGATGGCAAGGGCGCACGGGTGCTCCAGCTGAGGACTTGCTCTGGAGTGCCCAGGGGCAGGTGGGGGTGTTGCTAGGGCCCGTGCAGTGCCAGTGGGGAAGAGTTTGCCCTGTGTTTCCTGGACGGAGAGGTGCCTGGGAGAGTGGGGTGCTCTTTGGGGTTTTGGTAGTACTCGAGATAAGGGTAACAGATCTGGATGGACTGGGCTGCAGGAGCCCGGGCCAGGCGTTGCTAAAGGCGTGGTGTGCAGATGTGGCTCTGTGATGCTCAGAGGTAGGAAGCTCACTGTTTGCATTCTCTGTCTGGGCTCGGGCTGGGTGGTCTTTGGGACGGGCAGGCTGCCCTTGTGCTCAGGATTAGCAGACTCTCAGTGTGGGTGTAGAGGGTTGGAAGGAGACTGGAGGTGTAGCTCCAGCGGTAGAGCTCCTGCCTAGCAAGCATTAAATCCTGAGTTTAAAACTCAAGTACCACCTATATATATATATATATATGGGGAGAGAGAGAGAGAGAGAGAGAGAGAGAGAGAGAGAAAGGACCACTGTGAAAGGTCCACTGCCTTTAAAATCTTCAGTGAAATATTGCTGCCTGAGCTAGAGTTGGTCTTGGTTTACAAGTGTCTGTTTCTTTTTATTATTGTTGCTGGGTTTTTTGTTTTACTTTGGTCTATAGAGTTAGTTATCTTCCGATTCCAGCCGACGTTGACAATAATGTACCTGATTACCTAATGACTTTTGGACATTGTTTTCCTTCTTTTCATTAAGCAACCGAAATGACACTGGTAGCCAAAACTAATGAGAAATTAGTATCCCAAGAAAGGAACGATAAATAACATTAATCTGGTTTTTTCCCCTACAGCTCATAAACTAAAGCTGAAGTCAATCCCAGCAGGTTTTGTTGTGTTTCACTGAATGGAATAAATACTTTTAAAAAGTACATGTTTATTGCATAAAACCTCCACACAGAACAACCGGTTTTCTTTTCCTTTGTTTTTCAATGCACTTTTCATGTTTCTAAGCCCGTTATGCATAGGACACCCTTACATGCACAATTTGTATGCTTCATTTTTTTTCTTTAGCATTCACTCAACAATATTTGCCATCTGTGTCCAGGTCCTGGGCTTGTCCTGAGATGTATCCAGTAGGCAAAAACAGACCATTCTTAGTTTCATAATCCTTTCACTAGTTCTGTACATACATGCACACACATAAATATCTTTTGCTTACTGCTCTATCCCCAGTGCCATACACATAGTGGCAATCTGTAAATATTTGCTAAGATTTATTGGGAGTGGCAGACAAGCAAAGCATAATGCTAATGAATATATTACAAACCAAGAGGCATGCTCTGGAGGATGGAGCATGCCTCTCTGACTGCATTTAACAAATGATTGGAAATAGGGCAGACGTTTCTATACACCAAACAAGCTGAACTCTGTTCCTTTGGGGTATCTGTTCTTGCTTCCTCCCCCACCCCGACACACACCCCTTAGAACTTTCTCCTTTTGCCTCACTGCATAATTGGTTCTGTGTACCTGCAGATTCAACTGAAATGTTACCGTTGGAGATCTTCTCGGACTATCCTCTCTCCCGTAGACATACACACCAGCTCAAATCCCCTCTGACTTGTAATCAACCTTCTAAAACTATCTTTTTTCTGTCTCTGTTTTATGGTTCCACACTTTTTTTTTTTTGCCATGCTCTTATATAACCATTATTATCAGAAAATTCAGTATCATATTTGGCTAGGGTTTAGAGAACAGGGGAAGTTTATTCCTGCATCCAGTTCTTTGAAGAGCCATGCTTAAGATGGCCTGTCAGTGGTGCTAAGACAGGGCCAGTTGAGGGTCATATAGACTTTCCAGGGCTGCTCATACTCCAGTCTTGATTCTTACTGATCATTAAAGAGTGCATTTCAGGGCTGGCAGAGTGGTTCAAATGGTAAGAGCACCTGCTTAGTAAATGTGAGACCCTGAGTTCAAACTTCAGTGCTGCAAAAAATAAAAGAGTCCGTTTCAAAAGGGAATGGAGGGAGGAGGAGCAGTGGGGATAAGAAAACAAAAGGAATCTTTTTAAAAGATAATGTTTAGAACAGACTTTAAGCTAGAAGCTTAAGAAGACTATGAAAGCTATTTGACATAGAGCAAAATAGACAAAATAAATGAGGTACAATGTGGAAGGTAAAGAAATTAAAGATGAAGATAAAAAGCAGAGGGGGTAAATCTAAGGTTGAAAATTAATGTTAAAATATATCTGAAGCCTAAAAAAGTCCAATGAAAACTCACTATGCTAAGCAGAGGGGAATAGATGGATAAAATAAGTAGTCCATTTTTGAAGCACCTCACCTTCATGAGTAAAAGGTTTTGTAAGCAGACAGTCATGTGCATGGGAGATCTGCCACCTTAAAGATAGTTGCTAAATGGGACAAGATTGTAGGGGGAATATTGGTCAGATTTTGGGATCAGTCTCCATCTTCCACAAGAGACAAAACCCACAATCTCTTGTTGTGTATGGACTCATCTGCCTATTTTAGGTCTTTTTCTTCTTTCCAATCAAAGAAGCCAAGGTTAATAAGTGCTTACAGGGTGGTTTCTCAGTCCCTTACTCTTTATGCTACAATGGCTAAGGGAACATTCTTTATCTGGACAACCCTCATTTCTCCAGTGCATAAAGCTGTAAGATAATCATTTTCAACATGAAATTCATTACAGTGTGTTCTTTGCCATTCTTTTGTGTCTAACAGCAGTGGTACTGTGACTAACACATTTTCTTGAGTAGTTACCATGAAGGACATATGGTTCTAGATGTGGCCACATGGATGAAGGACTCCGCCATGTCAACTAAAGCATGTGATAGTTACCTGAGCAATCATGCAGAGGGGAGTACAAGGGAAGGGACTGTTCACTCCTTCCCAGGAGCAGACAAAAATGTTTTCCTAGAGATGAAGATGGATGGATTAAATCCAGGAAGATAAGAGGTGAGCAGGAGTTGTAACCTATCCAAGAGGAAGGGTGTCAGAGCTGAGGAAGCAGTGTGAGCAGAGGCTCCCAAATGTAACACAGCTGGACTTGTCAAGCTACTCAGCATGGGGAAAAGGACACAAGAAAAAGGAAGAGGGTGAGATCACAGAGTAAATAGTCATGAGAAACAGCAAACTAGTCAGTACTACATAGTCACTATATAAACTCAGACCCTGGTGTTATTACCTGTCCTTTAGGGCAACTTGAGCCCTTTGTTCCATATAGGAATCTAAACTAAGGTTGTTTTAATTTCCCCCAGTACAGTAGAAGGCAATGTCTGGAGGAGAAAAAAACAGAATAAGAAGGTGTTAGATTGTAGCATTTCCAGATGAAACATGATAAGGGGACATGGTGGCGGTGGTTTCCAGTGTGGCCTGGGAGCCAGGCTGCCCAGCTTGACATCTAGGTCTGGCACTTACTTGAAATTATTCTTGAGCAGGTTGGTTCACATTATGACACCTCGGTTTGCTCATCTGAAAGACGCAGGAACCGTCTCCATCTCAGCACAATCAGGAAACAGTGCTCACTACAGGGGATGCTTAATATTTGCCACTTCTAAAATCGTTTAAGTCATCATCACTGTTGTCATAGGAAACAAGTTGTGAGATCTGTCATTACTTCAGGAAAAAACAGAACCCACAGCCCGTGGCGTTTACCTACAGTGTGTGGCATTCACCTTTGGTGATGTTAAAATGCCATTTCTAATGACAGCAGAACTGCAGAATGGGTTCATCATAAGCTACTGAAATGCAGATATATTTTGATGTGAAAGAAATAAAAACTCTGATACAGGGAAATGTTTATAACTAAACTTACAAAATTCTGAAGACTGGCATAAAAACAGCAAAGAAAATGTGATTTGCGACTATCATGAAAACAAATTGGCTGATTTTTTATCTAAGAGTATATAGAACCAATAACAGTACCCACTGAGTGCTGGTCCTAAGTCCTAGAGCTGCACTGGTGAATGATATATGATCTTTATGAAGGTGATAGTCTCATAGGGAATATAAACAACAAACATGCACAATATGAAAAATGCTAGGAAAAAAAGTAAATTAAGGCCTCATAAAAGCACCTAACCAATTTTTTTGAGTCAAGAAGCTTCAAAGAAGTGTCATCTGAGATGGAGCTGGGAGGATACAGGATAAGAGGAATGGCACTGTCTCTGGTCAAAAGCAAAATTATGCCTAGAGGCCTAGAGTACTGAAAAGTACAACCCAAACAGACACTCCAAATAATTTTCAGTATGGCCAGACATGGTGGGACATATCTATAATCCCAGCTACTCAGTATAGGAATATCAAGGTTTGAGGCTAGCCCTGGAAAAGTTAGCATGACCCTATCTCAAAAACAAGCTGGGCTTGACAGCACATGGTCTGTGCTACTTGGGAGGTGGCAGTAGGAGGCTCGCAACCCAGGCAAAAGCATAAGACCCTATCTGAAAATTAAATTAAAAGCAAAAAGACTGGGGGGTGGCCCAAGTGGTAGAGAATTTGCCTAGCAAGCATGAGGCCCTGAGTTCAATCCCCAGTACCAAAAAAAGAAAAAAAAGTATCATTTGAAAATAGTGGACAAGCATGACCAGGGTCTGTGGATAGTGAGGGACTTTAAAGATCAGCTGTATTAAGGAGCCTTAGGCATTATCATGAGGGCAGTACAAAGCTAGTGAAAAATTTCTGTCTTGGGAGAGCTTTGATTACTGTATCATATGAATATTAAATGTGAAAAATGAATGCAATGAAGGGTAACAAGATAGGCTAGGATATCTAGGCAGAAACACTTGTCTTAATTCAGATGAGAAATCCTAGGGGCTAGAATCAGAAGTAAAAACATACAGCTAGAAAGACTGAAAGGCATTTCACTTGTGGAGACATATCTTGTTTGATGGCCATGTGCAAATATGAATCCAAGTGACCACACTCAAGCTTCACTGTGTTATGGGAGGTGGTGTGACACATTCCAGGTGGAGCTGCATGGGAGGCAACTGAGTACAGTAGATCCTTGGTATCCATGGATCTGTGGTTCCAAGGAGACCACTGTGGAGGAAACACCGCAAATCCTTGAGTTTAGCAGATACTGTGGATGCTTGATTCATTTTTCCCATGTCACCCAACTTCCACTAAAGATGAGCCTTTAAACAAATCTCACATTTTCACTTAAAATCAAGCACATTAACTTTGCTTTGCATTTTGGACACCATTTGCTTTTTGGAAGGCAGCTTGTCACAAAATTAAGAGCAGGAAAACACTCAGCAGATCAGAAGATTTAAACACAACTGACAATGAGACTGATTAAAGCTTCTCTATCTCACCTGCGCTGTGTAATGCACATGGGATTTGAATTTTTTGTTTTTTAAGTATTTAATTTATTCATTTATTTTGATCATGCTTGGTCAAAACTGCATGTAAGGCCAAGCACAGGGAGCTCATGCCTGTAATCTTAGCTACTGGGCAGGCAGAGATCGGAAGGATCATAGTTCAAGGCCATCCTAGACAAATATTTCATAAGACCCCATCTCATCCAATGGCTGGGAGCAGTGTTGTATGCCTGTCATCCCAGCTATGTGGGAAGCATGAACAGGAGGATCACTGTCCAGGCCAATCTGGCATAAAGGAAGACCCTATTTTCAAAATAATCAATGCCTAAAGGGCTGGAGGTGTGGTTCAAGTGGTAGAGTAACTGCCTAGCAAGCACAAAATCCTGAGTTCAACCCCCAGTACTGCCAAGAAAAGAAAAATGTGTGTAATAAATCCACAAGTAAGGCAGGCTACTATAGATAGACTTGGCACCCCCACTAGGGACTCAGGATGGAGAAAGGGGCTGTTTGTCATGGGAAGTGGGCCTGCAGAATGAAGAAACAAGAGGTCTTCAAACAGAACCCTTATGGACATCCTGGATCCCCTGGGGCAAAGAGAACTGAGGAGAAGCTGAAAACCAGGTTGGTGTCCTCTCCAGGAAGCCAAGGAGAGAGAGCTTCAGGTAGGAGGGATTGATAGCTCCAGATGTCATCGAGAGGGTAAGGACACTCCTGAGGAAGAGACTGATAACATAAATTTAACAGGGACGATGCCATTTAAATGACTTTAAAGTGATCAGTATGATTTTTGTGGGTCTGGAACTGAATGGGAAATGAAATATAAAATTGTCAGATTATTGATGGGAGGGTGCATTTTGAGGCAGCAAAGGAGGTTAAAAACAGATTGTGTGGATGAGATCATCAGGTGTCATTGTAGTTCCAGTGGTGGTCAGATGCCAGAAGTTTCTAGTGATATCTGGGCAGGGAGGATGGTGAGTGCATGTGTCAGAGAATTAATTCTTGTAAGTACGTATAACTGTAGGGAAGGTGAAAGCTCAGGTGATGCAATGTAGTGAACAAATTCATTTTATTGAAACTGACCTGGGATAGCCTATCATATTATAATAGTGATATCTGTTGTAAAAGTGTAATATTGGGGCTTAAAATAAATTACATTGCAAAATGTCTACAAAAAAGCTGGGAATGTTTCATTTGAAAATCTAAATAGGAAAAAAATTCAGTGTTCTGAGCAAGAAATGAAATTTAATTATAAAGTGTGATATTGAACTTACTATTTAATGCTTATAATCCACTGATTGACAAACCAAGTTTTAACTCTGCACACTGTTGAATGGATGTCTTTCTTGATGCATGCTAGAGAGAAAGACATTTCAAGTTAGTTGAATGAACTAAGCCATCTGGTTGACATTTCTTTTTCTACAGGTAGCACTGTATGGGGGAGTCAAGTTAGGAATCTTCTCTTTATCTGCTTCCAAGATGGTTACTGAAATTGAAAATATAACACAAAGGATATTTATATAATTTCATTGACATGCTATTACTTGGTTTCTATCTGGGTGGCTCCAGAAAATTCTAGAATGCTCCAGATGCTATGCATTTGTATCTATGACAGACAAGTGCTCTGCCACTAAGGTACATCCCCAGCCAGCCAGCCAGCCATTTGTATCTAGAACAGAATTAAATGTGTAACCCAGAATATTCAGTAAATTTAATGTTAGCAACAAAATTCAAGTCTATATTGTCTTTTTAACAATGCTTTTAATTACTAAGGCTATTTGTTTGCCTTGCTCTTTTGTTTTAGACAGTTGATTGAGGAATGAATGTTCAGAGGAACGGTCAGCTCAATAGCAGAAATGTTGAAAGCGTATTGCCAATAGGCGAATTCCAGAACACAATGCGAGTAGAATGTTGTGAGGTGTGTAGAGAGAATTTTAGAGCTAGACTCTGACATGAAATGAAAGTTTAGATTCTCTTGACCAATCTTTCCAAGATCCAGGAAGTAAAAAAAGAAAAGGCTCCTCAGAGATGAAACAGACTTGTCTGTTTAGGTCCTTACCTTACGAGAGGTGTGGCAGTCTTTTGGCAGTATACACCTTTACTTCATGTCTCCATCTTATTTTACATAATAAGAGCATAATTTTTCTTACAGTTTTTTTTTTAGAGTGCACAGATAATTATAAAAGGAAGAAGAATTGCTGAAGTAGAAGTTGTCAACCATTCTAGGGAAGAAAAAGAACTACAAAAAACAAACAGCTGGGGATGTGGCTCAAATTGTAGAGTACCTGCCTACCAAGCAAGTACAAGGTCCTGAGTTCAAACTCGAGTACTGCTAAAAAAAATCCTCCCACAAATGCAGAAGTAAAACATTCTCCAACACAGTGATGCACTAGCTTTACCACAGGGATATGCTGAGTAAACAGCCCCACCACTACCTCAGGGAGCTTCTAAGAGGAATGCATGATGCAATGACCAGTGAGAGAAGAATAAATTATAGTTGATGTGTAAGAAAGAAAAAAATTATGTAAGGCTATCCAACGCAGTAAATTTTTATATTTAAACTGCATCTATTCACTTACAAGATGTGCAGTGCACTTACATGAAACACACTGAAATGCTTCAGTTCTTCTTTCCGTCTGTGAAATCCACAATGCTTATTTAATCATCACCTCTTAGCACAGCAGTTTTGAGTACCCACTGGATACAGAGCATAGCAGAAAAAAAGAAGACATAATCCCTGACCCAAGAACTTGCTTTCAAAGGGAAGACTGACCTGAACTCACATAAACCTTGTCACAAGTTTGTGTTTCAGACCACGAAAGAGTAATCAAAGCAGATGCTACCTATGTACTAGATAAAACTTCTTAGGAGAGGGTAGTTTTGAAATGAATTTAGATAAAGCAGGGAAGACCAAAAACATTGATAGTAACTCTTCAGTTTACTGAAGAATAAAAGCTCACTTTATTCTGAAGTAAGCCAAACCCAGCAGGATGCTATTTTAAATGAGTAAACGGGTATTCTTGCACGACAAGCAAGGGGTACTTTTGCTACTCCCACCACTTGGATAAAAGCATAGAACAATCATTTTAAATCTTGCCAGAGAGCTTTTCTTTTTTTTTCCTATCCTGCCTGCTGCCACACCACAGTCCCTGGTTGTTGAAAGTGGTACATGTACTCCACCTTCGTGTTCTTTCTCCCCATTCCTAGATGCTTGTGAATTGCCCCCACCATTTGAAGGTATGGAGCCCACTACTACACCCAAACCCTATTATGAGGTTGGGGAAAAATTACAGTATAAGTGTAAAAAAGGATATCTATATCTGCTCCCGTATCTCACCATTGCTACCTGTGAGCGGAATCATTCATGGACACCTATTACAGATGACGGTTGTCTTAGTAAGTAAACATTGATTTTTTGTTTTGCTTGTTCTAGAGCTATTCACACATTTCAGGGTGTATATGGCAATGATAGCTTTCTCACATGAAACAAGATTTTGGATTAAATGGGTTTTTTTTCAGGCTTTGAGAAACTTGTGGGGAATTTTTTTCTTGGCAATTGCTTGTCTATGATTTTTACATTTGCCCTTAAAATAGTCGTTAAATTAAGAAAATAATGTTTCATTAATTCAAAAGAGCAATGCAGAATTTTGACTTTGATTCCAGTATGTTCTGAAACTAGATTTTAAAATTTCACAATTCTTTTCTTTTAGAACACCAGTGTAATTTTCTATATAATCCTCCGTATGGCCAAGTACACTATATAACTGGAGGTTTTTCATGGGGAAATAAGGTTCTCTTTACTTGTCATGAGGGGTAAGTTGCTCCTTAGAAGAAATAAGGTAAATTTACTGATGCCATGTGTTTTGCTTTTGTTAAGGATGCATGTAAACTTGTTTTAATTTTACTTTCTTTGTAACAAGTTGTCCTTCTAGCTGAACAATCTTTGGCTACTTTATGGGGACAGGAGAGGTGTGAAATAAGTAACTTCAAGTTCAAGCGAAGCAAAGATGATACCTGCCGTAACTAATAATAAGTCTATTACAGGCATTAAGAATGGAGTAATTAGGCCGGGCACTGGTGGCTCATGCCTGTAATCCTAGCTGCCCAAGAGGTAGAGATCAGGAGGTTCACAGTTTGAAGCTAGCCCCGGCAAATAGTTCTGTGAGACCTTATCTTGAAAAACCCTTCACAAAAATAGGGCTGGTGGAGTGGCTCAAGGTGAAGCCCTTGAGTTCACGCCCCAGTGCTGCAAAAACAAAAGAGTGGAGTAAGCACGGTGACTTTATCCTTCCCAACCAAGTGCATTGTGCTGCCAACTCTTAGAGTTGAAGTTGGGCTCATAGAAATAGGAGGTAGAACTGCCAGCCACGATACTGTTCTGTCCTAGAACTCTGTAAGGTATAAACCAGACCATCATGTCGATCATAGTTCTTCAGTTGCAAACATTTTTGAGACTATTACAAAGAAGTAAAGCACCTCAAAAAGAGGCACTAGACGCTCAATAGCAGCCCTTGTTCTCTAGGGCTCTTTTAGTGGTACATATTGGGGCTGTCAGGCACTTAAGGAACATGTACATTTAGGGAGATAATGTGATACACTACAAGGCATTAGAAACGAGAGTGAGCCTTGGGGAAAGTGAGCCGAGACTATCCACAGGGAGTTTCACTGACTATTTTTTTTAAGTTGATCAAATAAAAACATTGCAGCATTCAGCTGGTAGTTGTACAGAGAGAGCTTGTTAGACACTTTGAGGACCCAAATGTTTAAGACATAAACCCTTCTCAAAAAAGTTGTAGTCTCATCATGAAACACAATATAAGGACTGGAGGTGTGACTTAAGTGGTAGAGTGCCTGCCTTCAAGTGCAAAGCCCTTAGTTCAAACCCTAGTGTGTGTGTGTGTGTGTGTATATGTGTGTATGTGTGTGTATTTGCAGAGATCTAGCAAAGTAAAACAGTAAATGGTAAATGAGAAGTACCAGATAAGTAGAATAATTTATGATGAGAGTGAGTACAGAAGGAGAGTCTGTGAATTTAAATCACTGAGGAAGATTTCATTGCATAGAAGTATGCCCCAGTCATTCCTAGAAAGACACTGATCTAAACAACATTAATAAGAGCTGGTACTTGCCTAGCACTTACTATGTGCTGAATACTAACTCATTTTTTGAACAACCCTTTGAGGCATATATTTATATCTTCTTTTAGTTGATGGGAAAACTGAGTAAGAGAGACTTTAAATGGCTTGCCCAAGCTCAAGCAGCTGGTCAGTCATGAGCAGAGACTGGAGCGCCAGTAGTACTGGAAGGGCTCATTTTTACTGGTCCAGTAGAGTGTATGAGCAAAGGCAGAGAAATTAATTTGTAATGTGATAGCCAAGTTATGGAAACAGCCAAGATGCCCCAGCACTGACGAATGGATTAAGAAAATGTGGTATCTATACACAATGGAATTTTATGCAGCCATGAAGAAGAACGAAATGTTATCATTCGCTGGTAAATGGATGGAATTGGAGAACATCATTCTGAGTGAGGTTAGCCTGGCTCAAAAGACCAAAAATCGTATGTTCTCCCTCATATGTGGACATTAGATCAAGGGCAAACACAACAAGGGGATTGGACTATGAGCACATGATAAAAGCGAGAGCACACAAGGGAGGGGTGAGGATAGGTAAGACACCTAAAAAACTAGCTAGCATTTGTTGCCCTTAATGCAGAGAAACTAAAGCAGATACCTTAAAGCAACTGAGGCCAATAGGAAAAGGGGACCAGGAACTAGAGAAAAGGTTAGATTAAAAAGAATTAACCTAGAAGGTAACACCCACGCACAGGAAATCAATGTGAGTCAACTCCCTGTATAGCTATCCTTATCTCAACCAGCAAAACCCCTTGTTCCTTCCTATTATTGCTTATACTCTCTCTACAACAAAATTAGAGATAAGGGCAAAATAGTTTCTGCTGGGTATTGAGGGGGGGAGCGGGAGGGGGTGGAGTGGGTGGTAAGGGAGGGGGTGGGGGCAGGGGGGAGAAATAAACCAAGCCTTGTATGCACATATGAATAATAAAAGAAAAATGAAAAAAAAAATGTAATGTGATTGCAGGAGATAGCAAAGACTAACAGACTGATAGGCAACAGCAAATGTACCTAGACATCCTAGCTCTTGGGCATTGTGTCTTCATGTAGAGAAACTCTTCATTTGATTAAATTGCAGATTAATTTAGCACTTTATATGTCATTTACAAAATTTCTCCCTCAAACTACTGCAGTGTAGAAAAATAACTGTCTAGGAGTTTCTTTCAGGCCAGGCATGGTGGCTCACACTTAAAATTCTAGCTACTAAGGAGGCAAGATCCCATCTCAACCTATAGATGTGTGTGGTTGGCACACGTCTATCATGCCAGATACATACAAAGCATATGTAGGAAGATTGTGGTCCAGTCCAGCCTGGGCAAAAAGATCCTATTCCAAAAATAACTAAAGCAAAAAGAGCTGGTGGGGGGTAGAACACCTGCCTGGCAAGTGTGAGGCCTTGAGTTCAAACCCCAGTACCATGAATAAACAAATAATAAAAATAAAACCTTCCTTCATTATTATGTGCATCTTAACTGCTAAAGAAAACAGTAACTTTTTCTTTGCTTACTTAGTTATTACTTAATTGGTAATGCAACTCTGAATTGTGAGCTTAAAGATGATGATGCATTTTGGGACAGTAATCCCCCACGATGTGAAAGTAAGTAAATTCTTTTTCAATTTATTTATCTGTATTGTTGTGCTGGGTTGTACATTGTGGCATTTATAAACGTTCTTACAATATATCAAATATATCATACTTGAATTCACCCCTTCCATCATTCTCTTTTATCCCCCCTCCCCCCCATTCCTGGAATAGTTTCAGCAGGTCTCATTTTTCCATTTACACACATACATACACACTATTTGTACCATATTCCCCTCCTACACCCTTCTCCCACATCCTCCGCCCTCCCACTACTACCAATTGTCCCCCTCCCCAGGCAGGACCTTTTCTGCCCTCCTGTTCTCTGATTTTGTAAAAGAAAGGAAAAAAATGATATTTCTGTTTAAGATATCTGTGCAGGTAGTTTCCTTGTGACATTTCCATGTATATAGCAAATTCTCTCTTTAAAATTTAGACTGGCAGTTCTCAAGCATTTTGGTCTTGGGACTCCTTTATGCTCCAAAGAGTACTCCAAAGAGTTTTTCTTTATGTGGGTTTTATCTGTTAATATTGATCATACTGGAATTAAAATGGAAAGGTTTAAAAAATAATTATTAATTCATGTAAAGACAATAAATTAAATACATGTTAATATATGTAATATATTTGTAATGAAATTTTTTCTAAACCAAAAAAAAAATATACAACCAAAAATGATAGAATCGTGGCACTGATTTCCATTTTTGGCCTATTGTGTTATCAAGGTTTATAGCTTTTATAAAAAATTTCTGTACTATGAGGATGAGACTGAAAAATGCAGTATTTAGTATGATTGTGAACCATCAGTTTAGAGAATGAACTTAGGCTTATCTTTAATCACAAATATATTTTCTCATTCAAGTTGTCAGCATCTCTTATTATGACTAGGATAAAATAGTATGACCTTTCAAATAACTTATTGATATGTTGCACTTTAAAAGAAAATGAGTTTGGGGTTGGGTGCTATGGCTCACAGCTGTAATCCTAGATATTGAGAAGACTGAGGTTCGAGGCCAGCCCAGGCAAAAAGTTTGCAAGATCCCATTTCAGCCAATAGCCGAGCATGGTGGCATATACCTGTCATCCCAGCTATATAAGAAGCATAAATAGGATTTTGGTCCAGGGCAACAAGGCAAAAACTTGAAACTCTGTCCTAAAAATAACTACTGCAAAACTGACTGAGGGCATGGCTCAAGTGGTAGAGCACCTGCCTAGCAAGCAGGAGGCCTTGAGTTCAAAACCCTAATACCGCCAAAAAAATGAATAAATAAAAGAAAGTGAGTCTTTTCAGAAAGTTCATTTCTACATTAATAGTTTGAATTTTGGCTAATATATTTTGCCATAGAAAACCTCTTCTAGATGGATATTGTCCTATGTTGATGAGTTTATTGAAGGTAATTCATAGAACTTTGCTAATGTTGTCTTGATTTTTTACCTTACCTTTTTGCCTTTGATTCCCTTTTTCCCCCTTTTTAAAGAGATCTTGTGTGCACCACCTCCAAAAATAAAAAATGGAACACACACCTTCACTGATATAGAAGTATTTAAATATCGTGAAGCAGTAGTCTACAGTTGTGATCGTATCCCTGGACCAGATCAATTTTCACTTGTTGGAAAGAGTATGCTTTATTGTGCTGGTCACGGGGTCTGGAGTAGTGCTGCTCCTGAGTGCAAAGGTAATCATCTTTCCTTTTGTTACTTGTAATTACTGTGGAAATTTTCTGTAAGTAGGTGTACCTATAAGTAATCAAAACAGGTATATGTGTTTCCTCCTCTTATAAAATTTAATATAGGTCAAGTTTAATCAAAATCTGATTCTAGTTGTAGAGTTCCTTATCCTTCACTACACAACTTCTTGGCATTTCATTTTACACATTGAGAACTGCTATGTATGTGCATGAGTTAGGATGCTTTTATTTGAAAGAAACAAAACCCCCAACACATGCTGGCTTAAAACTAGGAAAGTATTATCTTGTGTTATAAGAAATCTAAGAGTTCTAGCTATAAGTAATGATACAGAATAGTGTAATAGAGTAACCCTCTCACTAATAAGACTGACTGATAAGCTTTGCACAAAATATATTTTTTTTAATCTTTACATGTTGAAGGCACTGAAGAGTGACCAAAAGCATGGGGACACTGGAAGGGATTTGCCCCTTGAGAGACAGTTACCACTGAATCACAGCAAAGTATATACTATTCAGGTATACATGGAACATCTCTAAGATAGAAGACTCTAGGCAATTAAAACAATTTTTAACAAACGGTTATTCAAAGTATTTTATCTGATCAGGAACAGATGAAAGTAGAAATCAAATAACAAAAATATCAAGAAAATCCCCAAATAACTGAAAATTACTCAAGACAATTCTAAATAACCCATTGATGAAAGAAGTCAATAAGGAGATTAGAAACTGTTTTAAAATGAGTAAAAATCAAAACATCTCAAAATACCAAAATTTGTGGAATACAGCTAAAGTATTGCTTAGTGGAAGTTTATAGCATGAAATGCTTATGTTAGAAAAAAGTAAAAATAGAAAAGTTCCAAGTCAGTGACCTAAGTTTCTACCTTAAGAAACTAAAAGAAGAGCAAATTAAACTCAAAACAAACAAATGAAGGAAATGATAAAAAAAGCTGATATCAATGAAACTGAAAAGAAGGGGGAAAAAAGAGGAACTCAACCAACAGCTGGTTCTTAGGAAAGATGGATAAAGTCATAAGCCTATAGCAAGATGACAAAAAAAAAAAAAAGACACAAATTATCAAGAATGAAAAGGGACTGGAGGTATGGCTTAAGCATGAAAGCACCTGCCTTGTACAAGTGAAGCCCTCAGTTCATGCCCCAGTACTGGGGGAAAAAAAAAAGAATGAAAAAGAGCATGTCATTAAACATCCTGCAGACATCTAAGGGATGATAAGGGATATTAGTTTTGTCCTTAAATGTATAGCTTAAATGAATCTTATGTATTTTGTAATTTGAATTCATGGCTTCCTAGGCAAACACTCTACCACTTGAGCCATGTCTCCAGCCCAAAACTGATATATTTCTGAAAGGCACAAAATACCAAAACTCACTCAAGAATAAGATAATCTAACTATAGTTACAGATCTATTAAAGCAATACAATTTGTAGTTAATGGCCTTCCCATATAAAGAACTGCAGGCCTAGAGTTCTCACTGGAGAATTCTACCAAATATTTAAGAAATAACAGTGACTGTACACAACCTTTTACAAGAATATGCATGAGGAAGAAACACTTCTTGAACCATTTTATGAGGACAGCTTTGCCCTGATACCAAAAACTGGATAGAAGCAATATCCTCAATGAATATAAACTAAAAATATCTCAGCAAAACATTAGCAAATCCAATCCTATGACACATAAAAACAAAAATACATCATGACCAAGTAGGATTTATTCCATGGATGCAAGGTTGGTTCAGTGCAAAAATTAATCAGAGTGAATTACTGTGAAGAGACTATAGAGAAGATACCTTCCCATCTTAATAGATGCAAAAAAAAAAAGTGTTTGACAGAATTCATCACTTTTTTCACAATAATGCTTCTCTGCAGACAAGGACTAGAAAATAACTGTCTCTAAACCTCACAAAAGGCATCTACAAAAATCCCACGGCCAACGTTATATTTAATGGCAAAAGACTCATTTCTTTCTAATTAAGAAAGGAACTAATTAAGGCAAAAATATCCACTTTGATCTATTCAGCATTGTACCCAGTAAGAACTACACACACACACACACACACACACACACACATATGACAGTATCAGGTACTGGCAGTTGGAACATATACTGCTGGTAAGAATGCAAAGTAGAACCCTTTGGGTCCCATTTGGCAATTTCTTATATACATGCACTTATGATACAACTCAGCAATCCAAGTGAACTGAAAACCAGTTCACACAGAAGTCTATATGAGGATGTTCATACCTGCCATATTCATAATCACCCCAGACAGGAAACAACCCACATATTATTCAGTTGGTGAGTGGATTAGCATCTTATGTTATGTCCAAATAGTGCAATAGCAGCCACAAAAAAGAGTGAACTCCTAGTAATGCAACACACAAATGGATTCCAAATGCACTGTCTGTATGAACTAATGATTTTCAAAAGACTGTCATCTATTTATATGACATCCTAAAAAAGCAACAACACTATTGAGAAAGAAAGCAGATCAGTGGTTGGTTGGCTGTGGGGGTGGGAGAGGAAGAGTGAATGAGGAGCAGGCATGAGAAGGTTTTGGAGAGTGGTGGAACTTTTCTATGTCTTTATTAGATGGTAGTTCCATGATTTTTACTTTACTTGCCCAAACTTGTACACTTGAAAGGATGAATTTTACTGTGTGCAAGTATATCTAGTATATCTAACTTAAAATCATTAGAAACAACTAAACACAACAAATTAAAAGATCATTGAATTTGAGATATGGCAACAGAAATCCTACATGATCTGTAAAGAATATTTTAAGAGAACAGAGAGTCTTACAGATCCATAAGAGAACATAAATTGTACATGTCAAATGTACATCTAATTGGAGGTTCTAAAGAAGCTGCAAGAGAACAGTGTAGAAAATTATTTGAGTAAATACTGGCTAAAAATTATCCAAATTCAATTCAAAGAGTCAGTCTCAGATCCAGGAAATTCAGTGAACATTAAGCAAGGTGAATAAATTATTAAAATTTACAACAACAGCAACAAAAAATGCACATCAGTTTGTTAGTAGTTTGGTGAAAACATTAAAGGCAAAAGATAAAAACAAAAACAGTAATAAGACAGAAAACACTAAACTGTATGATTACAATCGGAACGTGAGCAAAATGAGAATGAGACGACTGCCTTTCTTAAAAAACTTAAGTCTTGGAAAAGACAGTGGTGTTGGTTAAGGTACTAAAAGAATTCTGTATCAAGAAGAAATCCCACAAAATGGATGGTGAAATAAGTGGAAATAAAACTGAGACAATGGAGATTCCAAGATGGCGGCTAGAGGGAGGAAGCACGAAAGGTACCTTCCTATATGTGAAATCTTGGAAGAAATGTCTGGAGCCTACGACACCTTGCAGGCAAAACCACCGAGAAGAGGAAAACTTTGACACCTCACACATCCAGCCGGTGCAGAAATCTCCACTTCACGTCAAACAGAGAAACGCGAGGAGGCCCCCGGACCGCCAGTTTGCCCCACGCCAATGGCTTTGGAGACACAGACAAGAATCTTTTTTTTCTCTCTCTCTCCACTTTGATGAGAAAACAACGAAACTACACCTGCATGCTGAAAAACTTACTGAAACTGTATTGCATTTGAACTTGGACACTTTGGTGGGTTTTTTTGTGTGTTGTGCAGTTTTGTTCTACTTTATGCATCCCTTTGATGAGACAACTACAGAACAACATCTGAGGCACCATCTCAGGATGGAGACTGAGACGGACACCAAAATTATTAAGACTGAAACTCATTGCATTTGAACTTGGAGTTTTTTTTTTTTTTTAATTTTCTATTTTACATTTTGTTTTATTTTATTTATTTATATATTTTCATTTACTTATTTTTATTTTATTTTATCTTTATTCTTTTTTTTTTTATTTTCAATCCTCTCTGTCTCTCTAATGCCTGTTCAGCTTACTGTTGATTAGTACACCAAGTCCCTGTTTATACCTTTGAAACTTTTTTGTTTGATTCTTGTTTGTTTTCTCTACTTGTCTATTTGTTTTTCCCTTTTCTTTAACTTCTTGCTTTCCATCTCCTCTCACCCTTCCATTCTAAATATTACCATTGTTATTATTACAAGCTAGAAAATACTTAATTGCACACAGTACAGGACAGTAATAACACCAAGACAATGATGGGAAGACAGAAAAAACAGGGAAACCAGTTTCCCCACAGCAAAAAAAGTACAGAGAGGGAATGAAGAAAACAGATACTCAGATCCAGACTCCAACAAAATGAAGATAAACTATGCCAAAGACCCAATGAAGCCCACAAGAATAATTTAAAAGAAGACATACTACAGGTACTCAATGAGAATTTTATAGTGATGATACTGGATATGGTCAACCAAAATGTACAGGACACACTCAAGAAATTCCAAGACAACAAAAATAGAGAATTTGAAAAAGCAAAAGAAGAAATAAAGGAAACCATAGAAGCACTGTATAAACACCAAAGTGAACAGAGAACACAATTAATAAACAGATAAATGAACTCAGGACAACATTAAAGAGGAAACCACCCAGGATATGGAAACCTCAGAAAAAAGAACGAAACAGAACTGCAAAACAAAGGAAGGCCAATCCAGCAGAATAGAACAAACAGAAGACAGAATCTCAGAACTTGAAGATGAAATGGTAATTAAAGGAAAAACCGAAGAACTATTAATTAAACAACTCAAGACCTGTAAAAAGAAAATGCAAGAACTCACCGACTCCATCAAAAGACCAAACTTGAGAATCATGGGCATCGAAGAAGGAGAAGAGGTGCAAGCGAAGGGAATGCGTAATATATTCAACAAAATAATAACAGGAAAATTTCCCAAATCTAGAGAAAGATATTCCCATACAGATGCAAGAGGCCTCCAGGACACCAAACAGACCAGATCAAAATAGAACTACCCAACATATCATCATTAAAACAACAAGTTCAGAAATAGGGAAAGAATAT